AGACAAAACGTGAGAATGGACCACTCACCAGCTCCATCTGTTAAAGGTCCATTAATGCCAAGAGATTAGTATTACACTTCCAGATATAAATTTTGAGAACATATTGTAGATTTGTACAACTTCACATAGAGCCTTATTGCACTGAAGTGCTGCAAGTTAGAACCAAAAACATTTAAAAATGTTATAACAGTGGTTGCAGACCAGATTAGTGGTTCACTTCCTCAAGACAATTGTTTGTTTGTGTGCTGTTTCCTATCCATTGGAGTATTATCTCAGTCATTTTGTTGCAGGTTAATTCTGCCTCCATGACCATTACGTTGGCAGCTACGTACAGGTGATGATCCCGGTGGAGTCCAGAGACTTGTATGGTAGAATCAATGCTTGGGTGTACTGAAGCTGTTATGGCAGCATGTGGTGGCCCAGCACTTTACTAAAGCTGTTTTCACACATTAACTCCAGAATCAGGCCCGGACTTTGTCCAGAACTGCCCTTTCATTGGCGTCTTCAATGACTGTTTTCCTTCACCACTGGATGTCTGTATTCCTTTCGGTTTCACACCAGTCTCATGATTGAATGACATCACCATGGCCACTAGCTTAGCGTGAATACGCCTGGACTATACGCCACTGTATTCTTACATGGGCTCACTCGGACATTACGCGGACTTAGCTGGCAGGGTAAAATCCGTCCAAGTTGACTGATTCGGACATTAGTGTTTTACGTACAGCTCCTCCAGGTAATGTCCAGATAATTTCAGGGTTTCAGTGCATGTCTGAAAAGGGCTTAAGACACTTTAGGTTGGTTTTTCCTTTACTATGTCATTCATCTGTACCACAATCTAGACATGGATTGTGCTGCTATGTAAGGCATCAGCATGGGTGTTTTGCTTCTGTAAAGCAAAACAATAAGTTAACCTGTCTGCGCCTTAACAGCAGTAAAGCAACATATTGTTGCTTATTCAGCAGCAAGACACTGGACCCATGCAGCCAAGTGCACAATGGTGCATTCATTGGAAATGGTGTGGGTGTGGCAGCCAGCACAAGAAGGCTGAAAAGCTCCTCAGTTCAGACTAAACTGTCCTGGACTAATATGACTTTATAGCCCACTATTATAATGCATGAATGGCTCATTAATGCTGTTATTCCTGCTATGTCTTTATTGGCCAGTCAGTTCAAATGGCCTGAACATCACAGGAAGGCCTATCAGGTGCTAACATTCAATATGCTGTCCTGTTGCCAGGAATATTTTATAATAGGGTAGCTTACCACGGGTCTGGACAGTTGGCCATCTCGTCGTTGCTGTGTGTCCCAGCACATACACATTCATTGGACTATCTTCTGCCCTAAGCGCACGAATACTCCTCCCAGGAAACAGCTGTTGCAAAACAAGTAACCCGTTATTTTCCTCAAAACACCTGACTGTTCAGTAAAACTGTCTGGTAAATATACATCACCCCTCGATTTGTGATGCATACGATGGAAGATGGCACATAAAGTCACTATGCTGTGGCTAAGAGGCTTTCCTTTGACCGCGGGTGCCGGTATCTGCTTGGCCTCTTTAGGGAGCTATATCCCGCTATTCCATCAACCCCCCACTTACTTGTCTCTGTCCAGTGCGCTCCGTTAATGGTCCCCTCAAAAAGCTGACACATTTCACGATAGGCAGTGTTCCTGGAAACAATCACAACACCAAGTGGCATGACTATTTCGCTCCAACAACATACTGACTCCTTCTTAGGCGATGTTCTAATTATAATGAGTTACACTGCGTGCGAGAGCAACAACGGTGGAGATGAAGCGAGATAGTTCACTCCCGACTACTTCCGTGTCGTCTTAGATCCCGTCAGTAAGACTCAACGGTCTTAGCAATGCAGCTGCTACTTGTCTTTTGGCTGCTAGTCCTTGAGAGTGATGTAATGAAAATATTAGATGTATATTTTTTTCCGAGAGGTGTATTAAATATTTTACAAACTTGTTGTACCAACGTAATAATATAAACCGAGAGAAATCTTTTATGCGCATGCGTATTATCCTACTTGATTCCTGTGGGCTATGCATCAAATGTTGCATATATTTAGCTATCTTTCTTGCTATATTTTAACACTAAAACTGCACGCTAGTGAACACACGGCGCGGCTGCGCTCTCACTGCCCCATTCTGGCCCAGTGTTCCGGAAGTAAAACTTGACAGGCCTCTGTTTTTTATTGTCAGCGATAGCCTAAATCAGTGATTGTTAGTTAAAAAGCGGGCAGCTTCCAGTGCTTGCGTGGACAACAAATCATGCGTTCAAACATTAATCAGGATAAAACTGAAATGGAATAGGTCGGGCATCGCGGTTCCCAATTTAATTTTAATGTAAATAAGATAGTCCACAAGGAACATTCTGTAGCCTACTAACTAGTCTCATGCAATCTAATATGCTTTTGACATACAGTATGACTCAAAGGACAAAACCTTTCTGTCTGTGGCTCCGCAAGTGTTGCCCACTTAAGAATTTAAATCAGGGACTTCAGTGATCAGGTGCTGGCGCACTGCGGTCAGCGATGCGCACGTCAACTTTGTAGACCAGAATCAGTGGCTGAATTAAGGGCCCGTCTGCGTCCTGCTGACCAGCTAATTAAGGCCCTTAACCTTTTCCACTGCTAAACATGTAAGAAAATCCACCAGGCTATCATACCTTACAGAAACTTCTCTTATTTTAGCCTGGAACCTTTGGCCAAAATTATAGGCTACTTCTGCAAAATCTATGTAGCCTGTTTTTGAAACGTGGTGCATTGTTTCTTGACAGCAGGCTACCACCAAGATTATGCCCCGTAGAGAAGTGATCATCACCTCAAAGTCAAGGACTCCACGCTCCTTAGAATATACACCTGCTCCCAGTGGCATTATAATGGCTTTTCCCAAGACACGCACTTGGTCTATAGTCCTTCCACACCAGCCAGAGAAGAACTCCAGCAGTCCTATGTCAAAAAACACGCAAACTGGCACATGCAAAAATGGGCAACTTACCAAAGTAGCCTAGTAAGATTTCACCCGCCCGAGGCTTTAGGCCTAATAGAGACTTTCCCCAAGAAGACTCGTTTTCATTCAGTAAAGAAAAAATGTCCATGTATTGGTTTGTAATATTAAAATATCCTTCTAGCTAAACACAGTTCGCAGTGCCCTGTTAACTCACTAGACTACGTCTCAATGTCGCATTGGAGAGAGAGAGAGAGAGGGAGAGGGAGAGAGGTAAAGTCACAGTAGGGAAGCAGCAGGCTTGGCAGCAGCATCAGTGCAGCATCTCCGTCCTGTCCTCTGCACCACAAGGGAAGGCATAAGCTCCTTTAAATGACCGTATAAATGGCATCCGACCCGAACACTTAAGTGACGGAATGTGTATAATAGAATCTGCCACAACAAGAGATTTTTAACAGAGATTAACTCCTCTGGACAATTTGCAGCAGATTTTAAGGCGCCGGTGTCTTACAGCCACAGCTGCTGCATAGAGCTCTGACAGGACACACCACACTGGCAAACTAGGGATGGGCGAACAGATTAGAATAGGAGTCCGCTTGCCATTTAGGTATAGAGTCAAAACTGGTATAAACTGTTTAGTCGACAAGAATAAAACAAAGGACTGGAGTCTACTTGTGACAGATCATTTATAGCGAATACAAATATGAAGATTTAATTCAGTGTGGTAGATTAAAATAGATTAGTGCACTTTCCGAACCATTTTAAATGCTGAATGTATAATTTGGATAATGCGGAATAGACCAAAATAGAATATAATACTGTGGTAGATAATATTGATTTTGTAAAAATATAATACAGTGGAATAAAACTGAATAGACTAGGATTCCACTTTACATGAGCTGCTATTCATATGGAATTAGGCCTAATTACCCAATAGAAACTATATGTTGCTTTAAAATAGATATAGAAGAACTCTTCCACTTGCCATGGGGCCTTATATGGAGTATGACAAAATGTGAAGATAAATTACTGTAGAATAGAATATCAGAAAATAATATTTGCACATTCTTAATGACAAATCAGTTTGTAGATGTTTTACAGCAGACTGAAGACCAACATTTTAGCAGCAGTAAATATCCGCTAAGGAAAGATGACGCCAACATTCCAGCAGATGGAGACTACAGCAAATCTTGACTGTTCAGCTGTAGGAGACGAAGCTTTGACTGCAGCACCACCTTCTCGCCACTAGATGGCTCACTGTACAGTATATCACCAGTCTACAAATGTGACCTCAACAAAGTGGAAAATTAATATATGCAAACATTAACAGGATGATTTAGAATACAATTGTTGTGACTGCTACGGCGAGAAATAGTTTTTCTGTGATTCCATAAAAAATAACAATTCATGAAGGTGATGAAAGAGTTATGACTCAGGTTTTATCTCTGACTTATAAAGTAATAATAACTGATTTGTCAGCATGCTGCCTTAGACCAGTGAAGCCAGTGGAAAAGTAATATTCCACAATATGCTCAGTAGCAGATAATTACATTTGCAAAGTAGAATCTGATTTCCTGGAACTGATATACAACATATCCAGACACGTACAGTAATTGGCCACTTTTGTTGCACTGCTGAACTTTTGTCCTCTGTGTCTTTGCCTTAGTTCAGACACTCACCAGCTTGCACACAGCACAGTTGGTGCTGTGTTCTTTGGTAGAGGGGATTAAGATCATGTATATTTTGTGTCAGCATGACCTTTGACAGATCAGTTGAAGCTGCTGCACTTGCTGCCATTAGCCTAATTAAGACAAAATTAGGCTTTGTTAGAAAAGAATATCTGTAGAAAGTCTTTAGCTAGCTCCCCACTAACAATGTAATACCTGTCACATTTTCTTATACATTTAAATTGAATGGACCCAAGACCAATTTGTGGAAAACGTTTATTTTTACTGAGTGATCTGTATGAAGTTTTTCTGAGTGCTGCTACCTAAACCAGTCCCAAAAAAAAGGCATGCACATCTGAAAAACTTTTGCAGGTGCTGGAGCAGCAATGCCTGATGAAGATATTTCTAGATAGAAAAGTTAGTGCTGAATCAAACTGCTGAAAGCTTATTGCAGTGGGCAGCTCTTTGTCTTGTTACCTAAACCTTGACAGTGAATAGCAGATGTGTTAAGTCAACTGAGGTTCAGCCAGTCCTGGGGCAGCAGGCTGACATCTGCTGCAGGTCATAAACATGAAAGCTTCCCACATAACCTCCAAGTGGACAGGCAGTAGTCTAAGCCTGCGTTATAAGTCTGTAAGGAGTCATGTTTCAAAAATGGAAACGTTTGCACGTTGGTCATCCTCTAGAATCGGAGTCAATTCCAGTCATTACGGTGAATATACTAATGTTTCAGTGAGGACCGCGGGGGCGATAAGAGAGACCAGTTGAGGTCCCCGGGCCACAGTTTGAAACAGCAAAGTCATCGAATAAACAGGAGAGAGAGAGAGAGAGAGAGAGAGAGAGAGAGAGAGAGAGATTGTAGAAGTCGTCCTCTTGTATCTCAACACTTTCAAATCTGCTGCATCTTTTCCACCTCGACTCTCATTAAAAACCAGCAGAACGTTATCGATCACCCTGTGAGAACCTCGCCGGGCTGGGTCAGCGTTTGGCTCTCTGTGGAACCTGGTCTTTGATGCAGGCTGATCACAGATCAGATACACTCACTTCAGATCCATAAAGCCACCCCCCCTCTGTCCGCCTTTGATCTCGGGGTAGATCTGCCGCTGCCGCCGCGGCGGCTGTGACTGAGCTGGGCTGGGGCAGCAGCGCGGACACGCTGAGCAGACCGGTGCGGGAAACACACCACCACCTCTCACCGGTCTGCTTCCGATTTTTAGGAACCGCTACTTTGATCAACAGGCTCCTTTTTAGCAGGTAAGAAGAGCTTCTTTAAAAAAAAAACAGTTTTGAACATTCCTATCAAGTTACATGTGATGTGCAACAATCGCCGAGCGGCACAAGAAGTAGTCCGTAAAGTCATATTTTAAGTGATATTACTGTAGCGACACCATGAAATAAACGGTTTACAGGCACCCTGTCTCCGTATAGGGATGGATATTTAACATTTTAATGATTCCCATGGTGACAGCAGGCTTCGTCTTCCTCATGTACAGCTAAGAAAGCCGAGGGCAAGACTATAGCAGCTGCTAATGGGACTTTAATCAAACAGCATCAATTAACACTGTGCACGCGCCTGTGGTTATATATTCATTTGTGCTTCATAGCACACACCTGCTTTACTGTAGAAAGCGTGTTTTTAAACGTTTAAATCCAGATTTCCCTTGTGTTATATGACAGTATCATATATAAATACTTATTTATTGTTACAATAAGTGAAATATTCAAACCCATATGCATATACGTGTGCTACTGGAAAAATATTTAGCGTTTTGAACATTATTTTATTCATGGTTCCCAGGCATTCACGTTTGGTTTCCTGAACTTTTCTATTTTGGTGACAATAATCAAATTGTATTGTTTTTTTTCTCCACTAAATCAGAGCTGACCACATGCACTTCCGCTCCTGATAATTTACAAAGTGTGCCACACACTAACATACTTAAGAACAGTTTTCCATGTTTGTTTTTCAGCTGCAGGCAACAAGTGGCTTATCAAAATGGTCTGGATGCTTCATTACACAGTCTCACTTGTACTAACTGTTCATGTCATATATTCCATTCTGGTAAGTGGTTTATTACATTATCCATTTGGAACAAAGTTTTTAGTCAACATTTTGTTAAGCCAACACCTTATAGTGTGTATATCTTGTCTGTTGAGATCTTGAATCTGTGAATGACAGCGGTTTCTTTTCCAGTCTGTTTAATTCAATTGTGCTCTGTTCTATTTGAGCAAACAGCTCCCACATCATAGCTCAAAGTTCCCTTGGTTGTTTTTTTTCCTGGTACTTTTAAGCACATGTCACACATTATTCTCTACAACCAAGAGAATTCCATCTACAGGAGTGAGTTGCAATTAAAATCTCTGCTCTAATCTCATCAAAAATATAGCCCTTTGCAGGTCACATACTTAAATACTGTTTTTATGAGGTGTAAACCTTGGGAAGATTGGACAAAAATGCTCACCTGCATTTGAACAGCAGTACATGTCTTTAACAGTGGGATCTGTGAAGCCCTTGCAGGTGACCCCTGATAATGCTATCATTTTATCTTTACGTGTGGTACGCTATCCTCATTGAATGCGTTTGTTCTGTAGTCTCTGGTTTTGGTCATTCCCTGTAGCATTGCTTTGACTTAGATTCTGCTGCAGCAGCTATGCAGTTTTTCCCACAGGGCTTCTTTAGGTTTCCTCATATCTTATCACAGCAGAATCAGACTTGTTTTCAAGAAGAGTCCACAGCATGGTTTGATCCCCTTAAATGATTATAAAGGAGATTATGATGCATAGCTTTGGATTCATTGCTTTATCTGTTGTGGATGAATGTGGCAATGACATGCGGGGAATCTAACTTTCACCAAATTGCTTACTGTCCCCGTCAGATTCCTGTGGAGGCTGAGGAGGAGAGCAGAGAATGCAGAGAGCAGGAATACAAGGACCGGTTTGGGAACTGTAAACCCTGCAAGCAGTGTGATGCAGGACAAGAGCTTTCAAAGGTTGGAGCGCACCTCCTTAATTGTATGAACTGAAACTTAAAAGTACTGTGTTCACTCAGGAGTATTTTCCATAGATCTTCTAAAAGGAAAAAGTGTTGTCACTTGTTTATTTAAGGAAAAGGAAAGTGAGCAAAGCAAGGATCCAACAGGTCAGTTGAATCGACTTCCTTAAGCTGGAAAACATTGGGATGAATAATTTCTGTGGTGAAAAAAAATCCCCTCAAAACAGTAAAACAGAGTTACTGAAAAGAATGGATGTCTCTGTTTAGAAAAGTGTATCTAGTCCAGGGAACCAACGTTATTGATTACTTCCTCTCTTTAATGCAGAGAACAGCCAAGCCGGTATTAGCTTTTGTGCAACACCGACCCTTTAATCAGTCACACCCATACTTTTGACCTTCGGCAACTGAATGGCTTCCATTGTTTTTCCCCATTGCACCCAGTCCAAGTTATTGTCTTCACCGTTTGAAGCAAGCCATGCCTAAGCTTGCTGCTCTCTCGGCTGGAAATACAGTTTTTTCCACCACCTTAGCCACAGGTTTTTGTGTGCTTTGTGCAAACAGGCCTCTATAGTCTGAGTTAAGGTTGGTAAGCAAAGGCTTTCCTCTCTGGCAGCAGCTATGCACCTACTTTTGCAAGTATAGGCAGTGATGTAAAGGTGAGTAAATGGTAAGACATGATGATTTTGTGGCAAGCATTTACTCTTTCAGCAAAGTGTAACGAATGGCTCACTGCAAATAAATACATTTTGTATCCTGTGCAGCTTTGCAAGCCATTATTATGTGAATATTTAGATAATTGTACCTGTTCCGGGCACAGTTTCCATATTTTAATGTTTAAAACCATACAAAACACAAATTGGGAGCAAGTGGGATCGACTCAACTGTCAGATTTAAGTTTGAAAGCAGAATCTGTAAATTGCATTTAAAATGGAGCAATCATGACCGTCAATGCTTTGTTCCCAAATTGATGGACAGGGCTTAAAATACTTTTACACAGACTACACTGTGCACACTTCAGCACTATAACACTTCATTTACATCAATGATGATCGTGTAAATATTAGAAACACCTCTTGGTATAATGTAGTCCAGTTCAACAGCCCACAGTCTAAACATTTCTTAGTTTAAACACAAACTCAACATAATAACCTTCATGAATGCAGGGTTTAATGAAGAAATGATGAGTTTTACCTAATAAACTGGGTGTATATGATAATTTACCTGTTGCATTTTGTTACATTGAAAGATAGTGATTGGGCCTAAAAAAAAAACTAAACAGGATAGGACTCAGAAGCTGATTTTTACCCCCATAACCTAATTTTATTTTATTACATTCTATATATTTACATCATTAAAGTGAAGTGCAGCCTTAAGTAAACAATGTTCTACAACTTAAAAGGCTGGTAAATGGACTTTAGGTGGGTTTACACTTCACTACATCTTTGAGTACTAATGAAAAAACTCCATCAGCCTTGACATCTGTTGCACACATGCATTCGGGCCCAGTTGCCTTGAATCTCAGCGCACACAGACATGCACTCTGTGGTTGATAATACGCTTCAGTAGTCCTCTGCCAGCTCGAGAGGCATGACTGCTGTTAGCCACCCTGGGGTCCTGGTTAATAATTGGCTGCCTCATTCTTTCTGTGAAGGTAGCGGGAAGCCAGATCACAGTGGAGACCTAGGCCTGCACTCAGAGAAAGTTTCCCTGAGAAACAACTCCTGATCTGAGCTCTGTGAAACCAAGACAATCTGGCCGTATTCTGAAAGCCAGGACTGACTGTCGGGAGGGAAGCAGTCTCTTGGAGTCCCTCTGTGTAGCTGCCATAGAGACCCCAGAGGAATGTGGCCCAGTTTGCTCTGGAAGTTTGCCTCTGGAAGCCAATCTGAGGCAGGCTGACAGACATCAATTAGTCCCTTCACACTAACTGTAGCTAAAAGAACCAACCATACAGAGGGGTTGTCCATTAAAACCAGTAATTCTCATTCTCTGACATATTTCATTCTAGGTTTCATTTGTAGAAAGTTGCTTAGACTCTTGTGTTGTGTCAAGCATGAAGGAGCGGGGGTGAATTGCTTTCCAGTCTATACCGGAAAACTGCCAGTGGCAAAAAAGGCAGGAACACAACTTTGATGTGTCAACATCTTGTAGTTTGTAGCAAGAGTAACATTTCCTTCAGCCACACAGGGCAAAGGACTATTGGCTGGCATTGGCTGCGTCTGTACGTGCTTCAGGTCCCAGCTAACGTGCCCCTTCTCTCCGATCCACACTGCTGTTTGGCCATCTCACCCAAACTAAATTACGAGATAGGACAGGGAAGCTGGATGTTAAGCATGTTTTTTTCTTCTTCCTTTTTAATGTCTTTGAGGTGAAACCACTGAGTGACTGTCACACTTGGATGTTGATTTGCATTATTTCCATTTTATTTTTCAAGGATAATATTTTTTCCTGCAGTATTTGCTCTTGAATACATTGGTTGGCTGCAGGGAAACAAAAAAAATATTACTCCTGCCAGCAGAGGTAAAGAGTTAACTTACCTTTGGTTTTGTGTATGGATATGTTTTGTGCTATTTTGCCATTGCACATCATGAAAATATGGCCCTTTCACGGGGGGGTTAACAGATAGAATATGTAGCTATTCCTTTATTGCTACCGTTGACTGTTTTGGTAATGTATTACTGGAAAAGGCTTATACATTGTGCCCTCACCTTTTCATAAAAGAAAAACTTCAACATCACATATAATCACAGAGTGCAGGCTTTGTTTTGGCTGTTAAACTACTCTCACAAAGTGCTGGCTGTCTGTTGTATTGAGCTTTGTTAGCGGGGATAAAAGAAGAAAGAGATCAGTCCTTGATGTTCTGTGCTGCCTGGATCAGAGGGACAGAAGCTGGCTCCATTTTCCTTTTGTGTCAGTGTCCTGACCTGCTTGTGTCTAGGTAGCATCAGCCCCCATCCTGCCATGCGGTGCCCCATGGACAATGCATGTGCTAGTGCCAAGTGAGGATGAATTGTCTCTGGGCCCCTGCCTTCATGTGGAAGTGGGTCACAGAACCACTGTGAGGTTCCCTGTAGTGGCTGGGCCTGCAGCGCTTTCTTAAGGAATCATTTCAGTGTTGAGTGTTCTGGCGGTTTCTTGTCTGGTTCAGTCTGAGCTTCTTTCTCTTGAGAACGGCAAGATCATTGCCCACAACTCTGGGCGGCCAAGTCTTCTTCCCCCCCTCCCCACCTTTCCCCTCTTTATCACTCATCAGCCGCCCCCTCTCTCTTTCTCACTCTGTCTCTTCCTTTCCACCCCCCTCCACTTCCACGGTTCCCTGCCCTGCCCTGTTGGAAAGCAAGGCCTTATATGGAGAGTAACAACAGCTGTAATAGTCCAGCCATGGTCCACCTCAGGCCAGGCCTGGCCCAAGGGTTCAGTGTCAGGCTCACATGTGTTTGGCTGGAAGAACTGAATTCTTCATCCTCTAGCTTGACTCCGCGGTGCCATCACACGATCACATCATTGCTTCCAACCTTTCTTTTCATTTCTTGCCAAGCTGTTTCCCCAAACCCAACCCCCATATCAGACTCTGGTGCCCACATTCCAGCAGGACTGCATGCCCGGGCAGTGAAATGGGACACGGGTGAAGAGAGAAGCGCTGTTTGAAGCTGACCTTCACTTAAATAATATACGAGCAACAGCGGACAACAAGAGCGCAGCTGCTGTGGAGCTGATAATGAATGATGTCACCCCTGCATGGTCTTTTCACTCAGTGTGGTGTTCGGTAATATCAGCTGTTACATAAATGTCAGTTTGTCATTGAGGTCACCAGCCTGGGGTGTGACAGATCCAACTGGAAAAAGTCAAAACAAGACTAACACTGGCAGACAGAACTGACTGATAGTTCAGATTCTTATTTCAGTGGTTGATTCTGTGTTGACATTTGGTTTTTGTCACCAAAAATGTAAAAATTAGCATTTACATTGTCAGCTGCAGTAAAGAGCTTGGTCACAGCTGAAAAATAATGAATCTGACTGCAGTGAGCCAGCTGTTTGCTTTTCTTCTTATAATTTTCATCATAGAAAACATTAACATCTATTATTTCATGTTCTTAAAAATATCTTTCAAAATTTAGAGTTTGATTTGTTCAGGTGAACAAGTTCTCAAAAGGCGTTTTAGCATTAGATCGTTCACGCTATAGTACGAAGCTGTGCTTTTTAAGTTCATTTTCAATTGTTGAACACAAAAAGAGTATTCACCTAATTTTTCTCCATACACGTCTCCACAGTCCTTGCCTCCTTCCTGAAGCGTTTCCTTTATTTGCTGGACTCTCAATCAACGGGACACTCACTGAGTCTGCTTGGAGAGGGAGTCCCACAAAAACACAGCAATAAACTTGCAATAATACAACAGTGGGTGTCCCCCAGGGCCTTTATTATTCAAATGCCTGGCCTTTCTGGGTCTTGCAGCGGAAGGCTGCTCATTCATACTGAGAGAGTCAGGGAGATTATTGCCAGTGTAAGATAGACTCCCAAAAGAGGCAGGCTATTGTTCTCTTCTGATCCTATGAGCCAAGATCATTATTTAATTCCAGACCCCCGATAGCCCACATTCAAGCCCTCTTTTCACCAGCTGTACATCAGCCCACACCACCGACCCCACCTCTTACCCGGTGTATTTCTCCCATTAATCTCCCCAGGAATGTGGCTTTGGATATGGAGAGGATGCCTGGTGCGTGCCCTGCCGGAGCAGTCGCTTTAAAGAGGACCGGAGCCTGCAGAAGTGTAAGCCCTGCCTGGACTGTGGACTCATCAACCGCTTCCAGAAGGGCAACTGCTCCTCCACCAGCAATGCAGTGTGTGGCGACTGTCTGCCGGGGTGAGAGGCCAGCCACGTTCTACCAGACAGTTGTGTTATTAATAACAGTTGTTTCTTTTTTTACAATAAGTGTCCTGACTAAGAAGAGAAACAGTTTACAATACACCAGTATCAGAGCTTGTGCATGTTGCTCCTATGCTCATTGACAGATTTGCAATCATGCGATTTTGTGTCTTCAACAGATATTACAGGAAGACTAAATTAAGTGGTTTCCAAGACATGGAGTGTATACCCTGTGGGGACCCACCGCCTCCCTATGAGCCTCACTGTAAGTACCTTTCCTTTCTTTTCCTTCCTCCATGAGTTGGTCTAACATCAGTGGGGCATTTTGTTAAATGTTCTCATGAATACAGGCTATTCATCCCAGCCCACAATAGGTGAGGTTTTAAGATGAAACAACAATGATACAATAGTCTGAAAGCAAACTATAGCGCAGTATTGAACTCCTGACCAAAACTCAGGGAACAGTGCCACAACAAACCTGAACACACACAACATGTCTGCACAAGATCCTTGGACTAACCAGAACCACAGCCTTTCAAGGGTGGAGCGAGCCTCAGTTCATTCACCAGGTCTCAGAGCTGAGCAGCTAGGCTATATATGTAGATAAATCCTTGGATTTACAAGCTGAGCAGACATAAAACTGAAATGGATACCACTAACATGGTGGTAGATTTGCCAACACCGGATTATATTAGCTCACATCAGAACATGTCACTCATTCTCATCACTCAGTTTGGATTAAATGAGCAAACTTCCTTAAACAAAACCTCCACTGATACTGTATTTCCAGACAAAACGTATGAGTAGTATTTAAAAAAATATATATACACCACACTGTTGGACAGGTTTTTGTTTCAGCACATCAGGAGGTGTGCTAGTTCAAGCTTATTACCTTTTATCTAGAGCCATTATGCAAAAAGGAGTCAGGAGGTGTGTTACAGTACAGTATGTTCACAAAGCAGGGCTCACATTCCATAAGGGTACAGATCCAATTAGCTTCTCTCTTCCGGCCATTATGAGTAGCTAAGTACAACCTTATGATTTCCACATAAAACCAACGGGAGAGTGAACTTATACCTTTGGTAAGTGAGTGTGACTTCCTGATGGCAGAGGAGGCTGCAGCTGTTTTGGCAGCATGAGCTTCAGAGCAGACCCAGCCAGGGTTGGCACCCCAGTGTTAAACAAATGGAGACAGCTCTGGGATATCAGACAACTCAAAACTTGTTTGTTCTTTCCTCACAAGCCCTAAATGTAAGGAATTATCATTTTGCCAGACCATCCACTGTATCTGATTTCTCATTTTATGTCTTTTCCAGTAGGTTTTTCAAACAACATATATTATTGTGAGCAGCATTACTGTTCGTGTAATGAACGTTGGCCTTGGGACAACAGGTCTCCCTGTGTCTACTCATTTGTCCACCTGTGCAGCTTCCTGTTTGATACTGGAGGAGGTCTGTGAAACAAAATGGCCTTTGTGACTGAGAACATAGCTGGTGGTTAGCTCCTAGAGGGACTCTTAGTGGAGCATTTCCAAATGTTTGAAAGTCTTGCTCCCTCCCTCTTGAGGGAGGGTGGTGAAAACTTAAAGGGCAGATCATTCTAATAGGCCACACTGGCTCAGGGCAGTGGTGCAGCTGTGCAGGAGGGGGAGCAGTCGCCATCTGGGGTGGACTATAAATCTTAAACCACCCCACCTTTCTTCTGCTCCCTTTCCCCAAGTGGCTTTTTAGAGCTGAGAAAAAAATTATATTGTGTTTTATGGATTCCTTCAGCCTCTTGAATGTGTTTCATCTGCTGCAGTTTTTCACTGTCACGGTAGATCTCTGAATAGACCGTACTAACACAGACAGGCATGCAGACAGACAGACAGGCTACAAGTGCGCACACATGCATGAGAATCCTCATCCTACTATTGCCATTATTATGATTTCCAACCGGATTTACACAGAAGTCAGATGGGAATTTTATCTACTGGTTCAGCCAAAATGAGAAGTGCAGCCGTAAAACTCCAGTTAGTTTTGATATTTTAGGTCAAATATCACATCATTCATTTTTCAGCCTTGGAGGTTGCTGCTTGGCTAACACACAGCCAATTACAGATGCTTTACCATCATTTGCTGATAAAATCCTGTTCATGTAAATCTCCTTATGCTTGTTGTTCTTTGGTAAATAACTAGTTCCACCTTTTGCTTTTTTTGCTAACCAGTCAAAAACTGTGATCATGACAATTGAGTCACAATGATTAAATGCAAAGTTCTGGGTATAAATCCTGGATTGAAGTATTGTAAATGTCTATACATAAAATGGAAAACATTTCTTTTTTGTTAATCAGAGTTCAGGGTATAAGTGCTCAGTTCTTTTAAAGAACCTCATGAAAGACTGTCCAGACAAATTCAAAACAGATCTTCAGAGGTGTAAAGAAGTGCTTCTTTTATTTGGAGTATGTGGCCTTCTATAAAGCCAACAGGCAGGGAGTCTATGAAAGGCTGTGGTTTATGTGGAGATATTATCAGCAGGTGAGGCCTCTTCAATGGACCAGTGTTTGTGTGTGTTTGCAGCAGCTGCTGTGCTCACCTTGGATGAGTTCACTTTGACCTTGACAGTGAAGACCAAGTGTAAACACTGTGATTAGATGTTACATTTCTACATTACTAATGCAGTAGTTTATGTCTCTGGAGATCATCATGGTGATCATCTGGCACTGTTAGAAATGTTAAGTTTCTAAGTCTTTCTATATAGAGTACTGTTATTATAGTTGCCTTTGTCTCTCTGTGATGATTTAATGTTTAATTTAAGTCTGCATGTGTAACTCTAACCTGACACTGTGGCCATTTAATATTAGCTTTACCTAAACTGGAGATTACTTGCAGTGATTTAGCAGTTTTTAATATCTGACACTGGAAAGTGACGTTCTTATTAAGGTGTCTTTGACATTATGCACCTTTACTGCTTATATCAGATTGCTCAACTATTGCGCCCTCTGGGTCAAACAAAGTTTTGAAGCGCTGCTGTGAGTTTGTCTTTTTCTCGGCAAAGGAATGTTAAAATACCCTTATCCCCTATCTGGTTATATTTGAAAAACTGCACGAGCTAAAGTAATGTTTACATTGCATGACAAAGAGCTTCTGGATGTGAAAAGGTTGAAGCCAGTTCCTTTTATGATTAATAGAGTGAAAAGCAAACAGCAGGGCTCACTGAAAAAGATTTTCTCAAACAAAATTAATTTATGATATTTGCCATATTCATGAAACAGTCCCTCGCTTTTGCCCACATGCTAATGGGGCTGTATTACAGTCTTACAGGCATACATGTACTTTCAGTGTTTGCTCTGTATTGACCCACACCCTCTATAATACATATATTGATCAGGAAAATGATGTTTGATAACTGATAATAATCAAAAACACTTATGCTGAGCTGCCTCAGAGTGAAACCAGGACTTGACTGTTCCCTGGTGGGAAATTCACAAAAAAACCAAGTAGTACTTAAGGTAGTTAAATTAAGCTCCCCCTTTACTAGCTGCAGCATTAATTGTGATGTACACAACAGTGTGTCAATAATTATATTCCAATAATTTAATGTATGTAAATGTGAAATGAGCTGTTCTGCATAAACATTGAAAGATAGTGATTGGGCCTAAACCTCTAGAGTAGCTGCAGCATTAATTGTGATGTACACAACAGTGTGATGAGGACGCAGGGACTCTAGAGGTTATGTATATTTTGATACCAATACTTTTGTTCTTCTACAAAAGTAACATTTTGACTGCATAGCGTTTGCAAAAAAATCAAGTACAGTAGCTTTAAACATCTAGTTTGTATTTGGATTGCAGATTGTGCTTTAACTCTGAGTGTGGAAAGGAAAATTAAATGTAGCAGAAGCCAATTTCAACAGCAGCGCCACTTCATCTGTCTTATGTTATTGATATCTACAGTTAAGCCACATTAAATCTTGATGTTCTGTATTTGTGGGAACTTGTATAATGAGCCACATTCCTGAGGCCAGAAGTCTTTGCACGAGTGTGTGTGTGTGTGTGTGTGTGTGTGTGTGTGTGAAGGGTCCTGAAGGCAGGGCAAACAGTGACGTCTTTCCTCAAACAGGATTAAAAAAAACTAACAGCAGTTTAGTCATGAAATCAGTGCATGGTCACACAGACACAATGGCAAAAGCAGAACAACACTCAGTATCTGTCCAGTAGGTTTTTGTCTTCATCACACACACTCATATCAGACCTACTTGAAAGGAAAAGAAAGAAAAAACCTGACCAGCATGTCCTCCTCCACTGTGTGACTACATTGCATGGGAGGGAGCCAGGGGGCAATGTCTGTAAATCATCTTCTGTGGGGAGTGAGACAGAGGCAGATAAAGACAGAATCCACCACAGGCGTTTTCTCTTTGAACTCCACTGCGTATTTCATTAGACTTAAGCAAAGTGATCACTAGCTCAAGGCGAAGAGGAATCATTTGTCTCAGGTTACTGTATCCTGATTGGCTGAGGAGTGTTGGATAATATGAAGGAACTGCACCTCATCATGCACTACCCTCTGTTCCTTTCATAACTTCCCTTGTTTTTTGGCATTTGTTGTGTAAAATTGTCAAATAAGTTAACTGACCTTGGTCTAATATTAATGCCACTCATTACCTTGTCATAAGTTGTCATGTGGTCAATCAAAGAATTAATCATTTCACCCCCCACCACCTTTGTCCACAGGCAGCGGGCGTGTGGACCTGGTGCCGCTACCCTCAGTAGTGACCAGCTCGCGGGACATGGCCCTGGCTGCGGTCATCTGCAGCGCCCTGGCTACGGTGCTGCTGGCGCTGCTGGTACTGTGTGTCATCTACTGCAAGAGACAGCTGCTGGAGAAGAAGCCCAGTGGTGAGTCACAACACCTGCAGACACTGTGTTTCACAGATGTCCAGCAGAACACTTAGAGATTTTTCAGAATTAAGACAGGAGCACAAGATTTGATGAACTACAGTATGTAGGGTTAAAACCAGTGCAGAGGCCTAAAGTTAGGTTCAAAGCTGCAACAACTTTCTATGGAGGCAGCCTTTTTCCCCACAAACAGGGCTGCACAGGCTTCTATGCACGTTGTACCCTTCCTCAGGTGCCACTGAATTTCCAGTATAGCTCATATGACGCGTTCCAAAACTTACTAACTTTTACATCAACAAAAACAAACACTGAAGATAAAATGGTGACAAGTTCTCTCAGCTATGTCACTTGTATAATTCACTTGTGTGCTTTGAGATTTGCTGAGCAGGCAAGTCTTCTGCAGATGCCACAGTGCTTTTAATTTACTTTTAATGCAGTGGGTGCAGGGCAAAAGTTCAGTATAGGAAATAATTATATAGACTTTAATTAGGCAAATAAATAACAGTAAACACAGTATAGCTGGATGAGTATGATTGTATCCCCTCTTTTATTAACTCCATATAGAGGGTGTAGTTATTCTCTCAGTTGTGATCTCCAGTGATAAGTATTATTAAACACTGATGCTGCATATTTGTGGGAACCTGTATAATGAACAGCATTCTTAAGGCCAAAAGTGTTTATGTGAAATGCCCCAGGGTGAAGAATTAATGACGTGCTTCCCTGGTAAGCTCACCCGAAACAAAGCGCGAGCTAGAAGTTACCAAGGCAATATTTTGTTAGCAGTTTTACTTCACCCAAATACGCACCCCGCCCTTTATCCAAGATGCAACAAAATGCCAACACAATTGTTATTTTTAAATTATACTAAGGAATTTTAATTGGGATCATAGACCCGAGGGTGTTGAAGGATGTATGTTTACTCAGATAAACACAAGTGCTGAGGGTTTCACCTGACAACTGCAGTTATACTGCAAGAACATGTCATGTTGTTATTGTCTTTAGTAGCAGTGCAGCAATATTTAGAGAAAAGTGAAAGGCTACCTATTTCTAATAAAGGTTTAGAAATTGTAGCCAATGGATTTTTAGAGATGGCTACTAATTTACTAATGCATCGTACATCAGTTATAAGCTACTGAGGAAACCAAATTTGGTCCTTTGTTTGGTAATTCGTTATAAATACTGGCATGCCATTGCTAAATGAATTAAGATAAGTGATCATGCAGAGGATTGTTTCCAACCATGCAGCCTAAAAGTGGTTCATATTAATGGCTTATAACTGAGCTCTAAAGCTGTAGTTAATATATTAGCCATTAATAAAGGCGATTCATAAAGGATACTGTATAACATTAATCTCACTGCTGTATGGGCTATGGGCTTTTGTATGTATTGATGGTTAACTAGATCTAACGTGTCCTCAGCAACCTCTCTGAGGTCCCAGGAATATCCCTACAGCGGGGCGGAGCTGTCCTGCCTGGACCCCTGCTGGCTCCACGACTTCCCCCAGAGACCTACCTGCCAATGTCACCTGGGTCCCGCACATAGCTGCGGTAGGTTCGAGTTCAGACTAAAGATTTTTATTCCACAGCTGTGATTTAGTTTCAGGTGTGTTAAAAGTCACAGTAACTGCTCATAAAGTTTTTAATGTTTCTAATAATTATAGGGATAAGGACATGATACTCTCATGTGGCCTCACCGTTCCCTTAGGGCTTCAGATGGTGATGAGAATGCATAAAGAAAAATGTCATGTGTGCGATGTGTTCAGGTCCAGTCCATCTGATCCCATCTCTGTGCTGTGATGAGAGCTGCAGTGTGGGCCGCAGTGAGGACAACAGTCCCTTCCAGTCCCAGACAAGCCTCAGTGATGGGTAAGGACAAATTCTGACATGGTCATATTTTAATGTACCCAGCTGGGTGGTAGAATTGGAGTGAGAGCATGTACTGTAAACTGAGGCTGAACAGCTGCTGTCACTGGACTCCATATTACATGTAGTATATTATAACTGAACATAACATTGTGTTTGGTGAACACCTTTATCCAAACTTCCCAGCAAACATTTTTCAGCCTAGTGAAAAGTAACTGTAAAACCTTGTGGTGTTTGCGTGGTGCTCTGCTGGCTGAACTGAACCTTTACAGCCGGTTAATGGCTAAATTCAATATTTACCTTCCAACACAGACTATATAGCTACAAACGTACACACAACCGCATGGCTCTGTAATGTAAATAAGCTGTTAACATAGTGCAAGTTAGCAGACAAATGGTGACTACTGTAGATCAACTGGTCTGAACGGCATGAAATATTATACTGTGTACAATAAAATGTAAGGCAAGGGACACACCTGTGTGTATAGTGAGACAAAGTGAAGACAGGAGAAGTGGACACTGCATTTACATGCACTTAAGAAACCAGATTATGGCAGAAACTACATGCACGATAGCAATCAGGTTACTCAAAAGCCACAGTCTACATGAGCTCCTAGGAAAACTAACTGTTCAGCATGATTTCTCCAGTCACATGCGTACAAGCGACCCTGGAGCTTGTCTTCTGCTTATGTGATCTTGTAGAAAGCAGATTAGAAACCTGGTTACGCTTATTCTGTACAGAGAAATGGGTGTTCTCTGGGAGAAATCTACTTGGGGAAACCAGGTTTCCCCACTCCCCTACCCTGATTACGGAAACCAGGTTTCCCGTTTAAATGGCGGTTAAGAAATGCGCTTATTTGAGAAATTGTAACCTGGTTACTTAAGTGCATGTAAACGCAGTCATTGTCCCTCTGCTACTGTTTGGTATGCCTTCAGTCAACCTGTAAACAATAGGCAGGTAAACACTGCTGTAGTGCCTCAGAGGCAGCGTTCTCATTTCGGTTGCTAGTCAGACCAATGTAGACATAATGTGGATAATTAAGTTCTTTGAAGTATTGAAAACAAACAAAAGCATCTTGACTCAAAATTAAAGACCGCAGGGTGTGGCTGCGATTGGTGATAATAACCACAGTTTTCTTTATCCTGCCCCCACAGAAATACAAAGGAGCACATCTTGATGCACCTGGGTGGACATGCAGAGTCCATCTGTGGAGAGGCTGGTGGAATGATGGGCTTAGAGCCCACAGAGTGTTTGGGGCTGTCTCAGTGCAACTCGGAACCTGAAGGAGGACGGCAGCTGGAAGGGGAACAGGAGCATGAAGGTGGCATGGAAGTAGAAGAAGGCAGGTTCAGGGAGGATTCACAGAGCGACAGTGAAACTGTGACAGCACTTCTTCCCAAAGAGCACTCATTGACCCAGGAAGGTGAGATGCCATGTGGTCACTACATTTTTAACGTACTGTAATTAAGACGCCTCCTCGGCCTGTCTCACACTAGAAAACATATTAAATAAACACTACAGTTCCACAGAGTAAAATTTCACTGTATTTTACAAATTTCTAGTCATGAACAGATTAATCTGACTGAAGATTCAACTCCTCTCAAAATGGTGCAGGTATAGAGGAAGATTAGGGCCAAAAATAGTTCTGACTTCCCAAAACAGTGACTTTAAATCTCTGAATCCTAATTTTAATATCAGAATTTTGACTTTAAATGTGACTCTGAAAAAAGACATTTGGGAAAAAGTCAGGATTGTGAGATTAAAGTCAGGTCAAATACATTTTTGCTGTGGCAGTATGCAGATACTACTCCTACAGTTACTCTTACACATAAAAACAAAACTCAGGAGTTGTATGTGTCCTTAAAGAGCAGCAGGTAAAAGAACCAAGAGAGAGTACAAGTCTTTTGATGTAGACAAGACCAACCTGTTTTAAGTCAGGCTGTGTGTAGATACATTACTTGTCACTGTGTTCCTCTTTCTCCAGGATGACATGGATTTCTTTGGCTGGCGTTCCATCCGTGAACCACCCTGGACTCAACAACAACCACGGGCCAGATCCTGTCTCAGATTACTCACCGGCCCTCCCACCCCCACCTCCCACTGACATTTCTCCCTCCGTACACCCATCCATGCCAGAAACAACCACTCTCCAGCGTGGTTGCACTGCCTCTTTGAAATGCCTGCTGCTCACCTCAGAGCCCCCCCATCCAAGGGTCCAAAAGGAACATATGCACTCACGACCACTTTATTAGGTACATCTGTCCAATTGTAATTGAATGCAACACTTCTGCCTTAACCTCTTTGTTTAAGAAGCTCAAATAGTTTTTTTGTTAAATTGTCAGATGTATGCATTTAATTATATGTTTATTATTGCGGTCATAGTTAAAGGTGGTGGTGTACTGGACTACATTATATTCAGGTGTTCCTAATATTCCAACCCTGCGAGGACAAAAATACAGACACCTCTGAAATATGATGTAGTCCAGTACAACATCACCTTTAACTATGACCACAGTAATAAACATATAAATTAAATTTATACATTTGACACTTTCACCAAAAGCTGAAACATTTTGTGCTTCAGAAACAGAGATGTTAAGGTGGAAGTGTTACACTCAATGGCATACAATTGGAGAGGTGTACCTAATAAAGTGGCTGGTAAGTGGGCATACATGCAACCAAAAGCACTGCCATGGAAAGCAAATCATGAAGGCAAAGGCATAAAGACAAACAGAATGTGAACTTACTGGCCCAAAGGTGAAATCAAATGAAGTTGAAACATTGAGGTGTACTGACTTAACCCTGTGGAGTAAAAGGAACCTCTGCTCACATCTTCACATGTAGGAGAACACAACCTGCGCCACTGATCTAACATTGGGTGTTATGAAGCCTTTGTGTGTAAAGACAACTGTAAAATCTGAGGTGTGAAGAAAAGTTTCAAAAGTGACTATGTTGCACAGTGAAGACAATCTTGATGGTATGGAACAAGATGAGGAATGTTTAAGTGATAAATGTATATTGTAAAATAGTAAATAGGTCAATATTTTTGTAACATAGACATGACTGATGCTATGTTTGCTTCCCCCCCATCAGTTCTAGTGTTGATGGTTGTGAATTATCACTTCCATGTATTGTTTTTGTAAATAAAGTACTTGGGCAAGTTTACATCCTGGAGGGATTCACAGGCTCAGTTCCTTAGTGGATTCAGTAAATCAAGTGATTTAATAATCCACAGCGTAAAAGACTGAAAAATGTTTCACTCTCGCTGCTTCATATCTTGCTGACTTTTTGTCTCTAGTTTGATTTTCTCCAAAGTTAGAATCCTGCACTTCTCATAGATTCTGACTGTAGCGTCATGTAGATGTTCAACTGTGATGGAATTTTTCTCAACTTTTTTTTTTTTTTTTTAACATTTATAGAAAACACAAAATATCAAAAACATAAGTGATCTATTTTTTTTTAAATCTTCTGTTGTAGCCCTATAACTCTACTGTGCTTTTCTAAAGTTTTTTGATGCTGATTCCCCTCTTTTGTAATGCCACAAATACAGTGGTTTTAAAGTGTAACCTTAGTATAACAAATCTTTTTAAAGCTACAATCAGGAAGTAATCAAAATCTAGCTAGAGCTGGCATTGAGACTGGAATCAATCAAGTCTACTTCAACCAGCAGCCTTGCCTCTCTCCCTTCCCATTCATTTGTGAACGCCGAACCACAGTTACCAGCAAAACTTGCCCAGTTAGCAGACACTACAAAATTCAACTGGTGGGCATTAGAACAACGTAACACATTGAGATGATTGCCCACTACAGGACCGGCGGACATTTACAGCCAGCACAGTTTGTGAACGTTAGCACAACAATAAGAACGGGCCCTGAACATTCACAGAAAAGTTTGGTGAAGCCATTTTACATGGCCCCGTCACCACTTAGGTTTTCCATCATGTATAGGACATGCTGTTCAAAAACAGGCCTGAAATTCAATAAAACATACTGTTGAGTGCAGCTACATCTGAAGAGAGAGAGGCGCGGCTAATAACTATATTGCAGCTGCAAGAGGGAACCAAACCAGGGTGACCCAGAGCCAGACTCCCAGGGTTTAATCACCAAGTTAGACACAACAACACACACTAAATAATGTAACTCACTGAGCTGACTGCTCTTGCTTCATGTCTACTGTAAACACAGCACAACCGTACAGCATCTTCCACTACACAACACGTTTACAGCCAGAATCAGCAGAGAAATAAGAGTGGGTCCTGAATGTTCACAGAACAGTTTTGTGAAGCTGTTTTGCACAGTTACGTCACAAAAGAAACTTCACCACTCAAGTTACTCTATCACATCTGATATTGAATAAAACACACTGGTGAGTGTAATCACATCAAAGACAGAGAGAGGCACATCGCACCTGCAGCAGGCACCAAACCAGGTTGTCCAGGGAAAAATCACCGGGTTAGTGGAGACAACAACACACTTAGCTGGTAAGCATCAAAATAATATATTTAACGGTCACAAATTGATAAGACAACTACAGCAGACCGACTGGGCGGCTTCTGTACGAACTAGGCTGGATGTTACCTGGCTGATTACTATAACAAAGTAACAACACAGTGACGGCCTCAGCTTAACCAGCTACTGTTACAGTCACACTGGGAGCCCAAATGTCACATCCGGGTTTTAGGAGGTATTTTAGCTACAAGAACAAAGGGTGATGGTTAAATTCACAACATACCAGTCAATCAGAAATGATGCCAAATCAATGTCCATTTGTAAATCCCAACAAGCTACTGGCATTTTGTGGTCACACAAAATAATGTTATCCACGTTAAAGGTTAACTGACCAATTAACCTTATAGCCAAAGCAGCCTAACTTAAAAACGCAATTCCATTGTTCTACACAGTGAGTATAAAAAAGTGGAGCTAATATTTATGACAGTTTCTGTGGCTAGTAGGGGTGTGACGATAGCTCATGAGACGAGACGATGCACGATATTGGGTTTACGAGGACGAGACAAGACGAGATTTTAACACTATTTTCAAGACATCTTCAATGGCGAAGTATATGACTGGAAAAAGTTTTATTCGACTGAGTCACAAAATGCAAGACAGTGCAGGTGCATTTTGAAATGTTTTAACTAATGATCTTGTAATGTCACTTCTGTTCTACTTTGAGTCTGTACCATCATATGCAATAAAAAACAATATGCAACCACTATAAAAGGTTTTGTCACACATTCAACTGACTGGCTTCTCTCCTGTATGATTTCACACAAGTCTCTTCAGACCTTATAACTGGGCATGAACTATTCATTCTAACTGAAGCTGTGTGTGACCTTCTATGCTATTTTCACCTGCACTGCACTGGACGGTGACATCATCCGGCAAAGGCCCTGCATTGACCAACCACACACGGGATGATCGGGGATATGGACGCCCATGGGAAGAAGACTCTTGTTTGCCTTGTTATGACGAGCATTCACTGCTATTCACTGTTGAATTTGCGCCACAATTAAGGCACCATTACAACATCCCATGCATTCTCATTAGTACTAGATGTTAAATGGTGTCTTTTATCTATCAATGCCAACACACTGGTGGTAGAACCAGTACTAGGGTGGAGTAGACAACGTTAAGAGGGTGGCTAACCAAAACACAACAGAAACTCTGGGCTGGAAACACGAATAAAGCCACTCAACGTCAACTCATTACAAGGTGGCCATATCACACCTACAACACTCCCTCTGTATGGTTAGAGCCATCCAGCACGTTCAGCCTCTCTCTGATGGTGTGATCACACCTTCAGTAACGTGAAACTGCTCCTCGCCACCTGCCTCAGGTCTCAAGCTGGGCAAGCGAGGACACTGTCAAAGCGTGCAGCTGCAGTCCTAGATCAGCTGATAATTACCGAATGAATGTGCCGAAGTAGACACAGAGAGCGTACAGTCCGCTCTGTGTTGAACAAACTGCATTCTGGAGAATCTGTAGAAATGTGAAGAGCATTAGAGAGCTATATACTAACATTAGAACCGCTTTAACACCATGCGTACTAAATCTTACCTATTATTATGAAAACTAGCATTTTTTAAAATGTATTTTACAAACTAACTTTTCATAACACAAATGCCATGTTTCTACACAATGTTAATACAAGCCAGGACAATTTAGATGAGGACCGATCACAGCTTTGCTATTTACAGTGAAGGTTCATAATGGAAAGTACTGAAAAAACTATGTTCTGCTACTGTATATGCAGAAAATTGATATTTAATTAGAAGATATTAGCTGTGGCATTTGATGAATTAATGAAAATATACACTGATAAAATGATAAAACCATTTTTAATTCTGACCATATTATTTTATGCTGACAGCAGATTTGGCCAAATATACCAAATAGGTAATGCTACTTTAAGAGCCCCACATGCTAACAAATCATTTATATACAACGTAAAGATGTGTGTACCCTGCTGCCATGTCTTGTCTCAGCATCTGTGTGTGTCATTAGTATTGACACTCTGCTTTCTAAAGGTGCAAGTCCATTTCCATGCCAACAAAGACACCTTTCAGCTTTCAGAGTCCATGATGAAGGTCTCAAAGTTCGGGTTGAGCTCGGACACCAGCGCATCTACAAAGTCCTCGATGGTGGGCCGTCTCTGCAGCATTCCTGTCACACAAGCACACACAGCAGCAGGTTTTAGGGTGTTGGCTGCAAAGGCACAAAAGCTATGGCAAGAAACTTCCCATCCCAACTCATTCTAATAGGATAAATACAGCTTTTCTAAATATTTATGTATTTTTAACCTTAAGTCAGCGCAGTGGTTTTACACAAAAGGGAAAACAGGCAAGTATTTTTCATAAATCCTTTGAAGCAACTGCTGTTTTTATCCCACATTATTTAAAACCCAGTTAAGCTCATGGATACAGGTTGCTGCTCCTGAGTCCAGCTATCATCCGCACTAGTATAATGTCATTTAAGTGTTCTTTTTTTATCTTATAATTTGATGTCACTGCAATGTCCACATTTTGCAAAACAAAACTGCCTTTATTATATGGAACCATTTAGCAGCACTTTTTGTTCTGCCCAATCGCACCCTCACTCATTCCCCCTAAATTGAGAAGAAGTGAAGCGGCACAGAAACAGAAAAATAAGTACTGTGGACGCCTTTAACAGGTCTCAGTGTGATTCGGCAGACTGAATGGAATATGACAAAGCTATAAAGCATCTTCTGTGTCCGTCTTAACAAAACTAAAAGGTATATTGTACATTCTACAGTTAGTTATATGGATGATACCGAGCTTACACACACACACACACAACATGAGACAAATATGACTATGCAGTCGCGAGCAAGACCTGGGAATGTCTGTCTGTGTTTTGAGTGCCTGTCTGCCAGCTCATGCGTGGAGGACTCCCTTGCTCGCCTGCTTTGAAGTCAGTTCATTTCCCCTTGTGCAACTGCCAATGTAAATAGACACTGTCCCCCGTCCCGCTCTTTCCTGCATAGGTCACCTCCAACACACACACACACACACACACACACACACACACACACACACACACACACACACACACAAACACGTCTGCACAGGCTTGAATGGAGACAAAGGGTTTCACACAGTGAACCTGAAAGTATGGATGCACATCAAGATATGGACACATAGACACACATACTGGTGAGTTTACTGTACGATGCTGCCATCCTGACACCGGCGCCAGCAGAAAGGAAATGAGCACAGGTCTGGCCAGGCCTGCAGTGAATCATCGTGCATGAGATCCCAAGAGAGGGAATTATCATCTCCTCTTGCCCCCTGGTCACACCCTCCCCCCCTGGCTACAAGATGATACCAACAGATAGGGGTTCCTAACACACCACAACCGTGCAAAGGATCTCCAGGAGCATGGCAGCCACATGAAAGCTACCATTAATGATAGTCCCAATTATAGAGCTGCAGGATGATATTTGCTGCGACCACTATTGACATCTGTGGTATTTGGTGATCATTTTTAAATGGAGACCAGAACGGCATGAAGAGCTAAAGCAGCATTAGTAAGTGTTGATACAAAGGATACTGACAAGTCAAAACTCTCCTCAGAAACTTTACAAGGTAATGCTGTTTTCCAGAACAGAGAAAACGTCAGTCCTCTCAATCCTCAATTCCAAGACAATGGCACACACGTACACACGCTCTGACATGACACGTTGACTGTTTACAGTACGAAAGCATAAAGAGCTGTGGGCTCAGTTGCCGATTCGAACTCTCCATACAAAGTCTGCATCATCACCACCACTTTCTCTAATAGATGTGATTTCCTAACTGTGTCTCCACAGGGGGGGACCCGATGTCTGGAGCCTGGTCTGCCACAGGTTAGTGCTATCGGCATGACAGGAGTGATGAGAGAGGCAGAAAGAACACGAGGGGAAGAAGAGAGAGAAACCAGAGAGAAATACAGACTGAAAGAGAAGTGTGATTATGAAACAGTTTAGGCAAGTAAACAATAGAGGCCTTGCTGGCATCTCATCACCAACAGCTCATGGTGTCAGCACCTGGGTCTCACACGACGACCAAAAGCAGATGAAGAAAGGCTCAACAATAAGCAGTGAGGAGCGAGTCTGTTCTCAGCCCAGATCCCTGGGAGAGTCTGAGAGGAATGCACAGATAACCTCAAAGTCATAACAACACTGTGGAGGAGCATCTGATCTGAGAAGCTGCTTTTGTAGATACACACAAGGAGGTGGGGCTGAATCAGCCAAAACAGACTGGCACAAGAGGAAAAAGGATGCACTGCTTTTGAAGTAAGTGCAAAGCAGATAAATGGTGTGCACAGAGGGTAAACTAGGAATGTGTGCAGAAATCCACAAACCTGTTACAAGTGCAAAAACCTGGACACTGGGTGCTTCAGAAAATATCAAACACACAGTTCCTTTCTATTTTATGGGCTGGTTCACTAAAAATAACAAAATCTTTACTTACCCCATTATGTCAATGTAATGCCAAATACTTTGTCAATGAAAAAAATATATTTAATATCTATAAAATATATATTTGAAAAAAAAAACTTCATTCACAGTTTCTCACAGCCCACGGTGATGTCTTTAATTTTCTTCTTTTGTCAGTCCAAGACTCCAAAACCCAGTGATATCCAGTGTACCGCCATATACAGTACCAATCAAATGTTAGTCATTCATGTCAATGGGAAGGTGCGTCCAAACACTTGATGGGTAATGTATGACAAAGAAAAGCTACAGATCCTCTCATCTGAGAAGCTAAAATAAGAAAATATTTGGCAATTTTGCTTGAAAAATTACTGAGGTGATTAATATCCATTGTTCAGCTAATCAATTAACTGATTCATCATTGCAGCTCTAGCTGACAGTGTGGTGGTGTTTTTTGTAATTTGAGCAAACCAAACCCTTAAAATTGAGCTTGAGAGTGCACAATGGGCCACCGCACTGATTATCAGGACAGCTTAAATCTGCTCTGCAGGTTTGCAAAGACTTGCTGCTTACAACAGCACCTGATCACTGTATGAATATCTTTGCATGCTTGATAGCATGGTTACAATGAGCAGAACAGTACACCCACTATTGGCTACGCACTAAGGAAAAACCAGAGCCAATTCTAAACATAGGCTGTACTTTGTGTCCATTGTTGGGAGAGTCTTAAAACAAACTTGTGAGAACAGTGAGTGTGAGTCATCTTGTCTTTAAGAGTTTCCAATTCCATTCATAACAGCACTGACACAGCCATTGAGGAATAAGGCTCCTTCCCATTAGAGTCAGCTCCACGCCCCGTGTTCACCAACGGAGTTTGGATAAAACAGCAAGTACTGAAAGACCCATAATGAACTAAGTATTCAAAGTAACAGTGGCTCTTTCTTAACAGCTGTATCCTGAGGCAAACTGCTGATTACATCTACATTTTAACCAAATCCTTGCTTTGCAATTACACATATTTTAGCTATTGAAAAGCCTCACTAGAGCAACCAGCAGTAGAGTACCTTGCTCAAGGCTACTTCAAGAATACTTGTTGGAGGAGGAGGCTACTCATTCCCTAATACTGCTGGTGTGGGAACCTTCAAATCACACACCCACATCTTAAACTTCCACAGCCTCTTCTTCTCTCAAAACAGGAGAGAGAGGATTCTTAATGAATCATTTTAAACTGACACTGTACTTAGAGTTGGCTCTTGGAGTACACAGACAGCATGTATGTACAGAAAAACTTGTTTGTTTACTTAAAGGGAGGTGGGTGATGATGAGTATCAGTTGAATGAAAGCCCTCTGTGGCTCGCTAACTGCTCTGAGCCTTGGTAATGACAACTCTGGGGACAAGAAATCAGACAAAATGTTTCAAAAGTGCTGCCCAACTTGCAGCTAACACTAGCTGAAATGATCAAACATCTGAGTACCTGACTCGACAGCTTTGCCATCACAAATAAATCTCAGAACTGATATATAAAATGGTGCTCACACTTTCCTGCAAAATAATGCAAGACCTTTATTTTAACACTGGTCCAATTTAAACACTGATTAGTAGCAGAATAGTTTCCACATAACTACAGTGTCTAAAAGGAACCTATGAAATCCTTTCTTGGCTCCCTGAAAATGTGCAGCAAGAGCTTCTGCTTTACCTGTACCTTGCTATTACAGCACTAATCGGCACTGCTGTGTGAAGTGTCTTGAACCAATCAGAAGTCTTAGCTGAAACTGGCTGTTATACAAAAGGAATTGGTCGCACTCCCATGGGCTTGGCTACGTTCTGTTCTTTCATGATTTAATTGGTTGCTTTCATAGACTAATTTCAACCACTTGCAACTTTGAGAAAACACCAGTATGTGGATTTAAAACGTGAACAAACTGCAGCATGCAGTAACATGGGCCCCAGCCTCAATAGCTTCCTACTCCCTGTACGTGTATGCAAAAATATTACCACACAAATACTACCACACAGCACTTTAAGTCACCTACATTTGAAAAGACTATGATCATGCATTTCAAAACATATTTCTGGCTGCTTCAGTAACTGTTTAACTGCTGCTCAAAACCATTTGAAACATGTCAAGGTGTGAAAAGCTGTTACTTGTGTCAGACCTGGAGGCAAACCACCGGCTCACTGCCTCTGTAATTATACCTTTGAAGTTCAGGAAGTTTTTTCTACAAACCACACTTAAGACAGGCTCAGAAAGCAAGACAAGGGCGATGACATACACTGTACTGGGAGGCTCTTTGTTGAGTATGTGCTTTCACAAAACACAAAAAAGGAGAAAAACCTGCAATGTTAATGAGGGTAAACCCTACAGAACTTAATAACTTTAATATTTAAGCAGCTCAATGGGTCCACAGTCTGAGCGGTTGGGTTATGCGCAAAAGGAACTAGTCTGTACAATGTGTCATCTAAATTTGTACAGAAACCAGTCTTTACACCTGATCATCATAGAGGCACAGTTGTGTAAATATCAGAACACCCCATCAATCAGTCTCTACTGAAAGGTGCTGCACTCAGTCGAACACAAATGTCTGAATTAATTAAATAAAAAACAGAAGCAGAGAGAGGCTCAAATAATGCTTACACTCCACCTGCACCACCTGTATTATTGGTGCTTTTTAAAAATTCCATTAATGTATTTATGTCAGTGGATAACTTTGGGCAATGCTGCATAATTCTCGGTGACACTTTGGTGTTTGACTATGAACCTGAAAATCTAATGGCACTTTAATTGGCCTCAGCTGTACTTTTCTGTTAGTGCTAATTAACAAATATTAGCATGCTAACACCCTAAACTAAGATGGTAAACATCATCATCTTAGTGTTGTAATTATAAACATAGCGTAGTTGCATAATTGTTTAAGCATCTTATTATAAAAAAAAAAAAAACCTAGGCCAGAAGATGTAAAACTATCAACACTTGTCTAAGACACTTACTTTTTACCTGCACCATGTGGAGCTCCGAAAGATAACCGTCATCACTAATCATGTCAGCTTTTAAGGAAGCCTATATACATTCTATATTTTGCAGGTTTACAACTCTAATGTGAAGCTCATCTAATCCTCTACTCGAGTTCAGAGAGAAATATCACTGTGCCGAAAGTGCTGTGGGAGCATCCAGACCACTGGGCTCTTGGAGTTTATTAGTGACTATAAAAGTAGTCAAGCCAAGCTGCTTCCAAACAAAGAGCTAAAAGGGTCCTGGGACTCAGCTACTAAGTCCAAGTAGATCCATTTTCTGTGGAGTCAGGGCTATGGGAACAGTCTGGGCCATGAAAGCCCTCTGTGTAGCAGGACTTGAGGTTCAGTTCAGTCGATCACCTTTCCTTTTTCTTCCTTCTACTCTCACATTCTGACTTGCTCACTCAGTCATGGTGCTGCCGGTCTGGATTTAATACCTGGGTTTACATTTCAACACCTTGTTTCCTGGGAAATATCCAGTAGCAGACAGAGAATCATGCACATAAAGACTGGCCTTTGACTATCCTTGCCAGGGCCTGCTCCAGTTCCCTGTGTGCCCTTGTGCCCCCACTACCACCTTGCCAAAGGAGACAGCAGGGAAATGTTACACACCTTCATTTACAAGGGTCTTTGTTTGAAAGTATTATGTGTATGGGTTGGATCTGGATATAGTGTCGTTCCCCTGGTCTCTTCTGGGCTAAACGCTCCTTTTGATATGAAAGAGCCCCTTCTTCTTCACATCAAAATTCTTTTTCATTCCCCAACAGAAATTTAAGATGGTTGCTATGAACTTTACAACCCCACAGCAACGAGCAGTATAAGCTAAATGATTCAGCACATGTACTGATGGTTTTCTAACTCTGACGTCAGCTTTCACAATGTAAAATCATTGTAAGGTAAATTATGACATATGCAGCCATTAAAATGATGAAGCAGCTAAATGAGTCTTCTTAAAAATTAAGACCTTTTTGCTTTAAATTAAGTAGTTCTCCAGACACGGAATATATTAAAATAAAAAAAATAAAAACGACATATTTTCAGATAATTACCTCAAACGCAGGGGCACAAAGCAAAACCAGACTAAAAACTATATTATAGAACAATGCCAAAAATGAGAAACTTATATTAAAATATTATTTTGACTAACTATTACTGCTAGTGCAGGCATTTTCTGTTGTGAGCCGGTACAATGACTTACCAGAGGGTAACCCTGCTAAGTATTCTGCATGGCCTATATTTAGAGGAGCATTCACTTCAAAGGGAACCATAAAAGCAAATACTGTCAGTTCAATAGTTAATTGGACAGTAGATCTAATAACACATCTGATCTGTTGGTGGCTGGAACCTCAGAGGCTGGGCGCAGCCCTGGTTGGAGCTGTCAGGGGACAATCCGATGAAGGAGGGAGGAGGTGACCCTGAGGGAAAGACTTACAGTACACTCCCAAATGTCACCTGATATAAACACTCCCTCCTCTCACCTTCTCTTCTCTTGTCCTGTCCTGTCCAGACATGCCACAGTGACAAGCTGAAGGAAGGAGGAAAGAAGGAAGTGATGGGAGGAAGAAGTGAAGTGGGCAACAGAAGGAAGCCACTTTTTTTGCCTGTCAAGGCCACATAAAGATAAACTACAGCTTCTGCTACAATGACATGGACCAGCTGACTACAACTGGATGGTTACCAACCTGGAGAAAAGCTGAAAGACAGGACACTATTTTAGCATGTTAGCATGGTAACATCCATTTACTAATTGTTAAAAATACTGCTGAGGCTGATGGGAATTAGTTAATCAAATTACTTTTGCAGATATTTGATCATAAGTGAACTTGAGGATGGCCAATGCCTCTAACAAATCTGATGGCATCTCTCCAGTATTTGTTGACACTTACACAGAACAGCAAATGCTACCTGCTAGATGTGCTAGATTAAAAGGTGGGGGGGGCTACAAATTCAGCAGGGCTGTGAAGAGCTTGGAGCCTCCCTATAACCAGAATAACACTGTCAGAATAAAGGGATGCAGCGGTGCAGCACCAACCGTCTCAGCAGGGAGGAAGTGGAACCCGAAGGAGGCAGTGATTTATGACAGCATGACCTGACACCCTGCTTTGGGGCCAAATAATGGGTAAACATCATTTAACTCACATATTGAGCTTCAACACGAATGCTCTCCCATTCTTTGGCATATTTAATTGTGAATTATGGACAGAATTTGATAGTGATCCATTCAGCAGTTGTTGAGATAATTCAGTCAGGTCCAAACTGCGGACTGACTGACACTGGTCATTCTCAAACTATGCCGCTAGCATGGTTAAAACTGTAGCTGATCTGAAGCAGTTAAACCCACAGTGGAATGTAACAGTCTGCGCTCAGCCCTGCAGAGTCAGCATTTAGCATTTAAACCCATAATCATCCATGTCTGTCTTTTCCTCCTTCTGGGTTTTGTCTGTGCACAGAAAAGCAGCATGATTCTGGACATAATGTCATTTAGTCAAAATTAGTTTTTAAAGCAGATGAAATAACTGAGCTCAGAAGATGAAAACATGAGTAGTGTGTGGTTGACTCAACACCAGTCTGCTACAATAGGACTGATCAAGTCTGAGTTGACAAAGCTCCTCAGATAAGAACCCTTGGGAGGTTGTTTAACTGGTAAATATGTTTGATTGTGAAAGCCAAACCACAACGGCAACAGCTGTGAATGTCTGACAAAATTGCAACCTGACTAATAAGACTCACAGCTGCTTCTGTCTGATGACAGACTCAACTAACACTAGGATTCCCCTCAGGTGATGGGTGATGAGTGAGGCTAAAAAGCCTGAATGGACATCACATAACCTCATCAATCTTACTTAATTTAGAATACCGAGGGGCCCCAAATCATTGCTATTGATTGATGATCCTTCCTTTGCATTACCAATCAAAAATAACTAATCTTACACTATCAATATATGAATTAAACTTTATTTAATTAAGATGAACTCTGTTCTGCTAAATATTACTGGCTTTTGTCATTTTAACAATTTGATCACAAAAATGAACTCTGTACTGGTACGAAACACCAGAGTAAGCACATTTAGTTACTTTATATAACTATTTTTCTGGTGCAACAGGAAACACATAGACTTGCACTTCAATTCCTAAACTGAAGAAAGGAATCCTACGGTACAAAACAAGTGAATGTACCAAGGGTTGTCCTGTACAACATGGGATGACCTGAAGACTGTGGTGTCAAGAGGTCAGACTCAGAGATGCTGGAGGGAGAACTGAGTCCCAAAGTCTGATGTAACTCCAATTAACTGTTAATAACATAAAGTGTGCCCCTGATTTTTATTGGTAAATGTGAAAAGACTTAACATTTGGGAGGGATAAGGACACGGTAAGTTACCTTCTACCATCAGCATTGGCTCCTTGGCTCCTCCATGGGCCAGCATCTCCCGACGGTAACGTTCACCCATGTTCCTGATGAAGACAGCGAGGTGAAGACAGACACAGAAGAGAGAGATCAGGTTACAGACACCTGTATTCTCTTCTGTGAGCTCCATTTGTATCTCAAAACAAAGCCTTTGTCCAAGAGCAAACACTTGAAATGGGGGTGGGTCTGGTAAAGATGCCAGCTGTGTGGCTGAAATACAACAATCTGCCAAGCTAGTGTGAGTTTCATATGAATGTCATGTTCATTTGTAGCTGAGCTACGGTGAATGCTCTGCGTCAACACGGAGGGTGTTATGAAGTCTATAACCTACAACAATTCTTCATCATGAACAAGAAACTGTATCATAACATTCAACAGTTGCAGCAGCGTTTCTTTTTCTCCCCGGAAAATCTTTGTTATTCCCAAAATGATAACGAAGAAACTATATGTAAAACGTTATTTTAAACCTGCATACACTAAACATGCATGCTTATCATATGCACTAAGAAAAACATTCTTTATTTATTTGAATCTTACTATTGTCTTATTTATTTAAATCCAAAATAAGTTGACATTTCCCTGCATTTCTACATGCTGGTATTTTGTTACCGGGTTCTGTCTCACCTGTTTAAAGGATCCTGAACAAAGCACTGCCTCCACACCATTGAGGCAACGGCCCGGGACAAGAGGTAGGAGTAGTACTTGGCTCCATAGCCAATCAGGTGGCTGAATCTCAGCTGCCATGCCTATACCAGAAATAAAAAGCAAAAACCCACAAACTGACTCTTTTCCTTTAGTGATAAAAGAAACAGCAACTTAAAATATTCTAGAAGTCAGCAGGTTTTACATCACCAGACTGGATGCAACAAAGAAATCAAACAAGGAGAGAAATCAGTCATTCTTTAACACGTAATGGTTTGTTGGAGAGTGTACATGGAGGGAGGATACTCTTCATAAAGCCTGCTGAGAGAAGCTGTTCCATCACTGGGACTAACTACTCCAGTAAAAGCAGATGTCGATTACAACTGAATCCAAAACTACAATTAGCTATAAAAATCCTAAACCAAAAGAGAAAAACAAAACAAGTCTCAGCCTTCTTTCAGTTATACCGCTACTGACATGAGGTGGATATTACTGGAAAAAAAAAAATCATTTGTCTGCTGGCAAATACATGAAAGACTCTTTTCAAAGTTTCAGCTGCTTCCATTGTTTTCATGATATCATTATATTGGTGGAATAAATACAGCTTTCCTAACAAAACACTAAACCACAACCTGCCAGCTCCTTCTTCGATAATAAAACATGAGAACTTCTAAAACAGTAGAAAGCCCCCTTTTCTTTTCTCCCCTGGAGTTGCCTGAGGGGGCCCATCTCCGTATCTATGAAGATGAGCTCTTTTATGATCTCTGGAAACGGGACTCTTGGGGAATTCACCTGGCAAACCGTCAGAGACGACAGCGGCTGCCAGTTAACAAAACCATTACTGACTGCAGACCCCTGCCTCCATCTCTACAAAAAAAAAAACTGTTAATGATTTATCCTTTTTTTTTGGCCACTTGCAAACAGAGGAAATAAGCTGTGAACACGTAGCAAACACAATCATTTGTTGTGCTTCACTCTCCTTTTAGTTCTGTTTTTAGTCTCCACCAAAAGAAAAATATCTGGCTTGTTAGCTGCTAAATGCTCCACTGCGTTCACCTGCTAGTCGCTATCTTGGCCTCCCTGCCATTTGGTGCTGGACACGCAGTGTGTAGTGGGTTTTTAGAGCTTTTACAATAACAGCTTCCTGCTGCAGCCATATTAAGCCCTTTTCAGACATGCACTGGAATCCTGAAATTCTCTAGACACTACCTACCTTTCATTGCACTGTTTCTTTATGTGGTTTATGGCTGCAGATATTTTGGAAACGTCTACTGAAGAGCTGTTTGGTATGCTGTCGGAGTCTTTGACAAGATGCTTTAAATGCTTGTCATAACGTGCCACGGAAATGATTTTCGGATTTCCAAGCTCCTTTTTGTTTTCAATCCCTTTGCCATACATCAAATGATTGTCGACTTTTGCGAGAGAGTGTATGCGGGTCACATGTCAGTGAGATATCCTTTTGATCCCTACATACAAAGGAGACAAAGTCAGCACAGGCTTTTCACTCTGCTCCTCTTGTACATAAGATAAAAGATCGTTTTTGTTCTTTCCAAACTCAGCTCGTGGTCTTTTGTTCATGGTGCTAAGGTGCAACTACACGTGTACAGGGGGAATGTGGAACAAAATAACCCGGGTCATGTATTAAAAACACTTATTAAAGAAAAAAAAAAAAAAAAAAAAAAAAAAAGAGGGATATCACAAAATAAATTTAAAAAAAAGGAGCAAACATGATCCTAAAGCATTCGATCCACAAAAAGCAGATTAAAGAAATGTCAACACAGAGAGTAGAACATCTTGCTTTCTGCCATTTCTCTCCAAATATTATCTTCGGTTAAAGGGTTAGCATGTGGTCTGTGTTACTCACAGCTGATCCTCTCTCAGCACACAGCGGGAACTGATAGCCCCGCTCTATAAACTATACACATGACAACATCGCCTCAATGTTTATAATCCGTAGCTCTCTGTAACCCATTAGCCACTCAAACTTTTGCATTACTCTGGAAACTTTTCCTAGGCTGTTTCCATGAAGATGGGCAGAGAAATACATTCAGATGGTCAATTATAAGCAGAAAAAGAAAAAAGCAAGTTTAAGTAGAGTCTGTCATTGAAGGATCTAAGCAAATCTGTTTTCACTTGCTCAGATCCAAGGATGACCAAATCCTTGAAACTCAAGCACTGTGATCTTTCTCAGTTCAAATGAGGAAAACAATCCAGCTGTGGTTAGCTGCGCTCATGGAGGCAAAGTGTCTGTTATAGCTTTCAGTATGGTTTGAAAAGTTGAAGAGGAATGATTGCGACAGTGGGGAACTGTATAACATTACCCACCATCTCTGGAGAGGGAGCTACAAAGCGGGATACAAGCAGAGCTGTAGGAGGACTCCTGTGAGTAAAAATGCTGGCCAGGACACCGACGTCTGGGAGAATATACAGCAGTTCTGTAATCTCTATTCCTGACGGCACCCCACATAATTATAGCCCAGAGTAAATGCTTTATGAAGGCCATTTCTGGATAAATTATGACCCTGTTTTGGATTCCCTTCTCCCTCCTGGTCCCATCCCCTCACCACAGCTGTATAAGTGGTGGAAATGGGGAGTTTTTTTCATTAAACGACCAGAAGGAAGAGTTTTGAATATTTCCTCCAGGGAAAGAACATTCAAAGTATTCCTCAGCTTTGTTGTTTTAGCAGGATAAAAAAAACAACAACAAAAAAAAAAACAGGCTTCAATCCTTTAAACGCTGCTGTGCCTGAATAAAAGATATAAAACCAAAGAAAGAGGAAGGCAAAAGAAGGAGAAAGTAAAAGATTTCTGCAATTTGTGATCAACATCTATAGGGAATCATTAGGGCTGCCCCCAAACAGTCGAGACCATCCGATACATGGATGTACATTAAGATTGGATCTATTTAGCAAATTGCAGAATGAGGAGAAAAGGACAACAAAACCCACTTGGACAAGGCACAAATGTGTTTTCAAACATCATGGTCTACTTGTATAAGAGAAAAGATTGTTGTGATGCTGTGGCTGGTTGTGCACGGCCTAATGTTAGTATGTGCGTCCGGTTTGTTTATCCATCTCCACTAAAGTCCCACACACAGCTGTTTACCGACTGTTTCTGTGACATGCATCCATCCAAACAGCACTAAGAAGCTAACAAAAATGCACAGGGAAAACATTTGAATGAGGAGCCACACCAGTTATTCATAAGAAAATAAGTTGGTGTGTTACATAGCACAAAGACGTACGGTATTTGGTGTATAAGGCAAGCCGTAGAATTTCTGCTGCATGTCCTTCAGGATTTCTGTGGTGGAGCGGTCCTGAGGTTTTCCGTGGTAGATCTGGTCCAACACTGCGTAGAAAATCTGCCAGGGGAAAAAAATAAAAAAAAACAACAGGCCTGACTAAATCAGTCCTCCACTTCAGTACAGGTTTATCAAAAGAAAGAAATTAGACAAGCAGCAAATCTCACAGATAAACCAGAAGCACAAAACCAGAAACCTTCAACAAGGAATAAAAGGTAATATGGTTGTAATAACTTAAATGACAAAACTCAACAGCAGTGGTATCATAAACAAGAAGTCAAAAAAATGCTGTTGAATGTTTACAATAGGCACAGTTTCTTCATCCTCAGGCTTTTCTACTTGTTCACCATCTCAGCATCACATCAGCTTCCTGCCTTGCCTTCAAGAAACACTGCTGAAGCTGAAGGTAGAGGATGGATCTGGTTATTAGTTACTAGACATCTCTATTATCGTATTTACTCCCTCCTTCTATTTGCACGGCATATTCACAGCTACGATGGATGGAAGTCATGTATAGATTAGGAAATAATTGTGAGGTCACTGTTTGAGGCTGTAACTGTACCTGCAGCTGGGTGTCCGCAGCCCCACACACCTTCTTTGACTCGCACAGGCGAGCCACCATGCTCTCAGGCAAAGGCTGAGGAGGCAATGACACAGACATCGTTTTTGCCTCATCTATGCATCCAAATCTAACTTTTTAAAGGTTTTAATGCTGCAAAGTTTTTTTTTTGTCTTGCATCATACAAAATGAACCAAAGGCTTAGCTGATTTAACACCATAAGCAAACATTAATAGAATTAATATCCAAGTATTTTAGTACAAATCTGTCTTTATACTGGGCTTTACTCTGAGGGTTTAGGTGTACCTGTCCAGTTTCATAATGGCGTGCAAACTGGCTGATGACTCGATAGTCAGTGGCAAAGTACTCCATGAGAATAGAAGGGACTTCTGCAAAGTCAGTCGCACATCTGGTTCCTAGAGGGCAGATGTGAGATCTTAAAACAAAGGGAGGTACGGCCCAATTCATTCTTCCCATGTGGGTCAGTGCAGATGCAGACATACAGTATCTCCTACTATGTACCCAGACATTGAAACTAGGGGCACCTCTAATGAGCACAGCACAATAATAAAAGATGCACAGATTTTTACAATGAGAAAAATCAGGATCAGGTCATTATATCCCCAGAAAAAAACAAAAAAGCTTAACCAAACAACAATTAGCTGTTGACCTAACACGACTCCAGGCTGAAAATACTGTACATCCTTCACATGTAATATCAAGCAGAACACTTGCTATTAAAAGATATTCAGAGGGAGAAAATACAGCTTTAAGTTATTGGCAAAGAAAGTGTCCTGAGCTTTCAACCACAATTTCAAGTATCATACCTGAACAGGTGTTAACATGGTGTCCATTAAAGAAACAGCCTCCAGCTAAGTTAATGGATTATTATTAGGTTTTAAAAAAATTTGGGACCTCAAATTACAGGTGAATGCATCCATCAACTTTATTTGACATACTGTACGCAACAGTATCATATGACAGCTTTGGTAGTCAAGTGGAATCTAACCCTCACCTCCGGGCTTAGGCATAAGCGGATTTACTTCAACTTTCAATTCACCACACAGGAAGGAATAACCCATTGGTTTGTATCTCACTACATAATTCTAGCCTGTGACATTTGGGAACTGCCAGTCTGTTGTTTTCAGATGAAGAGCTCATAAAATGTCAAACGTAGAGCACCTCCCATAGTGCTGGATTGTTAATGCTTTGTTAATCCTAAAATAAGACCTGCTGAATAATACATGTGTACAATTACAATATGCAGGTGTAAATTGAATTAAGGACTTTAAACTGCAAATAGTTACAGTATCTAAGACGTTCTCTGTGTGTGTGTGTGTGTGTGTGTGTGTGTGTGTGTGTGTGTGCTCAGCCTCACCTGTAACGTGCTGGTAATGAGTGCGTCCAAGCATGGAGTGCATGGCGTGCCCCATCTCATGGAAAAGGTTCTCCATCATGCCCGGAGTTAGCAGGGTGGGGGCGCTCTTGGTGGGGTGAGGCAGACTCAGCATCAGCACCACAACCGGCAGCTGGTACTGACCTGTTTCCTGGCACCACCGGCCGCCACGGATGGTGAAGTGACAGTCCTAGGAGAAAGAGGACATTCGACTAGAGGTGGGTGGGGAAGCAGATACTGATTTAAAAAAACTTAATGTATATGAATATTGTGTCACTGAATGAAGAAAATAAAAGCATATGACTGATTCAGACTGTGACATTTTTTTTCCCCAGTTTCTAAGAGTCATCACTTCACAAAAATATAAGACTATTTGCATTACAATGCATTGTTGTGCACAGTGTTGTAACACTGGACTCCAGGACTCGTGAACGGACTTGAGCACTGACAGCTCAGGCTCGAGCACTGACTACATTCAGACTCTGAAGTTGGAGACAAGGACTCAAACGTTTTTTGTAATAGGCCATAATAATTTAGAATTTGGGATGCACATATTCAGAATTTTTTCTGACCGAAAGCTGACACTTGTTAACCGATCATTAAATGTTAAGTGACAAGATTAAAATGATGGGCTATTTAGATTTGGTCTGTGACCAATTACAAATATGGCATAAACAACAGCAGAACATGAGCAGAACAGAACGCCCACTGTTGTTTCACACACCTGAGGAACTGGGAACTGGGAACGGAATGAAACAGCCTAATAAAGTTGTTTCTGTGTTATACTGACCAGAGGCAGCTCACCTCACTTCAAAGGTGTGTGATATCCTATTAGATGCAGACCATGAATGTTACCACCTTCAAAGTAAAACAGACCACTCTCATAGCCTATATTTCTCTGAAAACTGCAGATACTGTGAATACCTTAATTGTGCAAATAAACCCTAAAACTGTGACTCCTGCGCCCTGGGAGGAGAAGTGTAGGACCGAAAAAGATATAGTTAGCTTGTTTTATGAATGGAACTGATATAACTAAATCAAATAAGGTTGCTGTTTATTTGGGACCACCTAAAAACTTTTATTTTTTTAATCTGACTTGAGGTTCATTGACTCGACTACAACACTGGTTGTGCGTCGGCCACAAAAAAAAAAGTGCAGATGAAATGAGAAATGCAAAAAACAAGTTGCCTTAAAATATGGGGAGCCCCATTTTCAGAGCAGAAACTCTTATGAACCTGTGAGTGTCATGTATGCACACCTGATGAGGTTTATCTGGCCGGTGGAAAAAGTCACAGTAGATGTATCCCAGTAATCCCTCTCTCTCATGAACCACAGCCTAGAAACACACACACAGGCACATATCCAAGATCTTAAAAGTGAACTTTAAAAACTATCTTTGACTTAATGTATGGCATAAAACAGACTTTAAGAAACAACATAAATCAAATTATAACACATATCAGAATGCCCCCCCGTTAGACCTTGTTAGCACAGAGGGTCAACTAGCAATAGCAGACATTTTCCACTACCAGTAACATTTACCAGTTTGCGGACATCCTCGCTCCACACCTCTCCAGCACTGGGATATTCAGACATGAGGGAGACACCATACAGCTGAGAGAAGAGGTTGTTCAAACCTTCCATACAGGCACCCAGAGACAGGTAGGGACTGTACAGACTGGGCTCTATGTTGTACCTGACAACAACATAAGCCAAAATACAGAAATCAAAGGAGCAGCCACTTTGAATCTTCAGTCATCATCCTAAAGACAGAGGGCACTGACTTTGTATTTAAAGTTGCAAAAACAGTTGTTTCTGTGATTTAAACGTACCACTTCCTGTATAACTACACATCTTGTACTTTTATCTACACGCGTGTTCAACAGATTTGAAATATTACATTTTTCCAGTCAAATGTAGTAATCCACACATAAAACATCAGAGACACAAACCATGTGAATCATCCAAGATGTTAGACTGTAGATCTCAATAATAAGTACTATGACATGCAACTTTTACATTTAGGCTTTGAGCTTATTTGACGAGTTGAAGTACTTGTTTTCTCTAGCATCTTTTCTAGCTATTGCAAGTCATGCTTGTTAGTAGCATTTCAGCACAATCTTAAATCTTTTCAAGTGTTCTGTTTTATATTACCTGTACAAATAGAACTCAACTGCTACAAGTAATGAAAAATGTGCCATGAGAAATGTGTTTTCAAGTTTACTGAGGAAACAAACTCTTTTAAACACAACCAGACAAAATGAAATGATCCTAAAGGCCCTGCTTGTTGCAGACCTAATGCACACTCAACCCATTTTAAACTCCAGATAAAGAAAGACCAACAGTGACCGCCCTGCTTCAATCACACATTAGTCCTGCACATGTTAAGTTGCAGGCTACTGAACAGTCTGGCTACAAGTCCTCTGACCATTACACGTGTGCTTTCAACTAGTACTGAACAACAAAGCCACAAAACTGCCAGAGCTCTGAGGGGGGGGGGCCTGTCCTGAGGGACTGTGCTTAAAATGAATGCACTCATGTTGCTATAGGCACTTTAGATTAATACAACCAAACTGATTGTATAGCTTTAACATCACATTTAGCGTGTTCTGAACACTATTCATCTCACACACACACTTCATTTCTATATGCTTTGAACACTCCAATGCAAAAAGGTTACTAATGAAAAAGAAGTGGTAAAGTGAGCGGGTGACAGAGAAAAAAGCATGAGCTTGTGACTCGTAGGGAGGGTACCCAGTGACAGAGATTAACTGCCCGTGGATTTGTGTGTGCACACTTAGGTGTAATACAGAACAGCAGCGGCTCTGGGGAAACCACTTTTTTAATGTAATCAGACTGGATACTAAAATTCTTTAAAAGATCTCTTGCCAAGTAGCACAACCCAAAATCACAAACACGAGAGGACTGCTGAAGCAGCGGCAGCTTGACACGAAGGAGGACACACTAACAGATCCATCCCCCCTCAGAAAACCCTGGGAACAGTCACCAACACATGCACACAGTTTTGGTGGCCACTGAAATTCAAAGGACACAGGGGGGTCGATAATGTCTGCAATAAAGATTTCATCAGACCTGTGGCGCTGCTAGTTGGTAGTCAGTTCTGGGAAGGAAATGCGCAATTCATTATGAACAGATCTCTGTAAAAAGCTGGAGACGCTCATTGGGCCTCACAGCAACTTGGATTACGGGAGTTTGAATTTTTAAGATCACTGCTCACATGAGTTTGAAATGAGAAACACATTTCAGTAGCAGGATGCACTAGTGGCCTCAGGGCTGAGGCACAGACCACAGACCACAACGTCCCTGGTTCTTGTTAGGCCAGGGACCTCAGTTACATACGGCTCCCCATCCTTCCAGTGGATACAACTAACAGCATATCTATTAAGTTCAAACCCACTCTAAACTGCTGGCAAGTGCTGCAACATTTTTAAATGAATAATCTGTTGATTTCGTTAAGTCCTACACATGTGAGAAAAGTAAAAAACAAACACATTTTCCAGATATCTTCAATTACTTGTCCTCGTGTCAGGAGAGAAATCAGAAAATCAAATATCCAATATATTGTCTGTTAAAGTAATAAAACAGAAAAAGCAGCAACTCCTCTCATTTGAAGTTGTGAATATTTGGCATCATTGTAATATTAAATTACTCAAAGTTACATTTGTTATTGATTAGTTTACCGTTGATCAGCTACTCAGTTAATTGACTGTTTCAATGCTACAGTCACTCACTGTGGATGTAAACATTTACGCCACACAAGCCTATAAACTCACTCAAATTAATTGTTCAGTTTGCTGATGAATAATAATCTCGTGCATAAGTCAAGTTTAAAAGAATCTCAGTCTGACAGATGTGCAAATATTTGTTGACACTGTCCTAGTGGTGTTAAATTATATTTTAGATTATACAAATTTCATGTAAAAAAAAAAAAAGATTTACATGCAATTTTAAACTATTTGTCACTAATTACTATCACTGCAACTACTACACAGAACAAGACTCGTCAGATTTGAAGGAGGGAAAAGGTTCAATCCCATATGAATGATATAAAGCAGTTACTGCCAACAGGTCAGATAAAGTGAAGAGCAAGAAGGCCACCTCAACAACACAACAGATGAGCAAAAACCTGTAGTCCTTCTGTTTGTAGGAACTATTTTACCATAATAATGTTGTCGTATGTAGCAGTTAAATGTTTAAGAAGCTGCAAAAGTGCTCTGGAAGTCAATGGCAACGCTGAGCCTAACACACTCTGGGGTTGCTGGGTTAAACAAAATCGCCCTAAAATGCCACCACTTAAAAAAGAAAACTGACTGAAAACAAGGGAAGTTGACTATAATGCCAGACTGCCCTGAAACAGAGCAACAGGAGAACAGCCTAATAACTCCCAAGCTTCTCCCTTAACACCTTTTGTAACATACGACACCTGGGAGCCAATAACACCCTGCACCGTGCTGGAGTATGAAGTTGCAAACATCTAAAACCATCATAAAAATGTAGATCAAATGACAGCAGGCTGAAAAATAAGTTTCAAATAAAGGCAAACGATCACCTTTCAGCACGCAAGACGCCACTGAGGAACGGATGGTCCCATGGCATGAGCTCCTATAAAACAACATCAACAGTATTTTAATTACATGTGGAAGCAATCAAATTAAGTCATGATTTATTTTGATATATATGTTCTGTTAACACTAACATCACACTAAACCTTTAAGAAATTAATACTGATTACATATTGACTGAGAGTGTAGTATTACCAAGTATCAGGATACACTATGAAAACATCCTTGTATGTAAAGAATATGTGAACAAACAAATAATAAATTAAAAAAGGTCACTCACAGAATTACGAGGGCTCAGTTTCTTCTTCATGTACTTCATCATTTTAAAGTCTTTGGCTGTTCTATGCGATAAAATGAAAAACACAAAAGCAAGTTATAAGTTAATTGACTCTACTCAGTGTTATGGGCGGGGAAGGGGGGGCTATGCAGGACCAATCCCAGCATGCATTTGGCTAATGGTAAGGAAATCAAACTGGACAACCTGCCAGGCTATTAGAGTTTCCATAGCAGTGTCTCCTATGACCCAGAACTGAGTCAGCATTTTTGCATTTCTGATTCCCTCACCCTGCAATCTGTGTTTAACACAAGGCCAATATATTTTCATGTTTTGTTCCACAAAATAAAATACGCCGATAAAAAAAAAGGTCATCGTGCAAAACACGGAGACTCAGCTACTCACTAGTCCACATTTACAGTCTCTTTATGTTTAAACTTGTGCATTTGCAAACTAATCTAACTGACATGGCCGTGATCACTAGCTAGATCAAATTACATGTTGGAAGCCGTGGTGGTGACGTTGAAGTCGTGGGGTTGTGGTGTAGTTAGTTTATAGCCTAAGAACAGCTTTTTACGTCTGACGATTGAATTTGGGCTTCAAAAATCATAAAGCAGCGTTCACTGGTGAAGATTATCTTGCTGAACAAAACGTGCAAGTGTCATAAACCATAGTTTGTCACAGAGCTTATTTTCCACAATAATCCAAAATCCCATTGGCTTTTTGTTGAGGGAACCAGCATGATGCTAACGTCCAGGTTGGACTACAAAAAATGTCTTCCCCATGGCACGCTCTAGGTTCACCTTTACGCCTGTGGGTAATTTCAAGTACCAGGACCACCAGACTTACATAGGTTTGGACTGTGTGAGGAACCACAAGCATGCAGCACATACTTACATTAAAAAAGAAAGAAAAAGATCAACAGGCCTGAGGCATCTCAATGTGGCAAGAACTAATCAAATAAACAGCCATGAAAATAAATGAATATGTGGATCGCTCATTTCAGTAACCATGGACTCCTGGTCATCACATAGTATGTATGACCCACTACCTTACAGTTAACTATAAATTACTGGTTTAATACAATATTTAATGAAGCAACAGTCTTTGAATACCATATAAAACAAACACCAGGTCATGACAACAAACAGACTGCCAAACTGAATATTGGTTTTGTGCATGATTGACACAAACTGTAAAGAGGACTCTGTACCTGTCTGACAGCTTGTCTGTTAACAACTGAAGAAAGCTCATCACCGTCTCTGCAAAAGACAATAAAGTTGCAACATGTAAAACTTTCTAACACCAAACTACCAACAGTGCAGAAAGGGCAGCTTAGAAAAATGATTTCTGTACCTCATAATGAACCTGTAAAATTAAAACAATAGGGTGCCTTTTCAGGTTTTTACCAATTGTTACATACTATACAGCTAATTAAACATGAATTAAAATTCATCTTTTCACACAACTGACAACAAACGGAGTTAAAGCGCTGACTAATGGTAGCTACATTGAAGTTGCAAAGCGTTAACCTGGATTTTTCGCCATTGTGCCCTTCAAGGCTCTATGTCCATAGGACTGGTAGCCCACCAGTTTGGCCAGTTGGAATCTGCATTTCAGCAGCTCCTCCAGACATGTTATCAGATCTGCACTGGGATAGAGATAAATCCTGTAGGCAATCTCTCGCACCTAAAGGAGAATGATAGGACAAAGGTACATTTGAGATGCACTACTGATAATCCTGCTGGTGATAAATATAAATCAGTCAAAATAACATATGTTCTTAAACCTGTATAATTTAACAATCAGAATGTAAAAGAAGTATAAAACAGAGTACTTCTGTAGTGACCGATACCAGAATTACATGTTTACAGGGGGCTGGAGCCAATAAGTCATAAATAAAAATGCTCTCATAAATTCTTAAAGAGAATCCACCAGTCTACCAATAACTTCAACTTGTGTGTACTCTTACATTCAGTCCTGTCATGTGTTAGTGTATATGGCAAAGGCGCTACCTGCTGAAAGATGACAGAAATATTCCAGCAGCCCAGACTAAATAAATACCAGGTCATGGGGGGAATCTGCATGCAATCCTCCAATTTGAATGAAGCTTCCGTCATTTTCAAAGTGCGGGTGCAGATGTTCAGGAATTGCAGACCTTGCAATTCTGTTTGGCGTGTTAGAGCCGACCAGAAACTCACTGTTGAGATCCAACAGCTTCACATGCAAGGCAACAGCCTCCTTCCTCTGCATGTGACAAGAGCATTTAAGGAAAATAAAATTAATATATTACACTATGCAGGAGGGGATGTGCTATATAATGTTGTCTTTATGTATCACTGATATCTATTTCCCACATACATGTGTTTGCTGTGAAGCTGATTCACTCACCAGTTTGTCATCCAGATGAATTCCACTGATCTCAAAGTCGAACAAGAACAATTCTGCCACTCTCCTAGATAGAAAAACATCAAAAAATATTTAAAGAGCCTGTGGCCTTGTTTTTTGACTTATCTACAATGTTACAATGGTGAATTATCATCTTAGACGTCACCTAAAGCTAAAAAAAAAAATGCAGTGTACGTATGTTCTAGTATTTCTATGCAGAAGCAACTCGGCTTATACACATCCTACAAACTCTGTGGATTCCTCCGGAGCACATCACCTGTTTGTTTTGGACTGCTTGAGGCCAGTGTGTCTGCTGCATGAGATGTGTAGCTGGTTAACGAGCGGATTAATGGTCCATGATGTTATTTTTAGAGCTATGCTACCTGTTACTACTGGAGAAGTTACTATGGCTGCATTATGCCAGTTAAAATATGGGGTTTCTCAACTACCCACTTTGTTTAGAGTGTTACAAATCTCTTTTCATTTGTACATATACTGTTGTTTACATATCTACAGAGGGGAAATTCATGCTGTTGCAGTTCATTGTGCTGTCTACTTGCGACACAACATCAGCAACAGAGAACTATCCTCTCGTTTTTAGAAAGAGGCTCTCTGATTCTGAAATATTTACAGACTATTTGGAGTTATGATGGGTGCCAAGCTAATCTAGAGGTACCCAAGATTAAATGGGTGGAAATGAGCAAAATGAGCATGTTATGGGCACTTTAAACTTAACTGGACATGCTGTCATCATTAGATATAAAAACAATTATGAAAAGAGATTACTAAGTACTTTATCCACAATGTTCTCAACATCTTCTACAGAGCTTTCAGCAGAGGCACAGACTAAATAAGGTAATAGTAAAATTACCTTGTGTCAGGGTCCAGCTGAGCCACAGTGTCCGGGTTCTCCAGCAATGTCTTTAGGCTCTTGCATAACTCAACATTAGTGTTCAACCTGAAACATAGTCAACAAACCTGAGCAGCTTTCAAGATCTGTCTCAACTAAAGCTTGCAGAAAAATGTCTTTTATCGCATTATCTTACAGTTGTAAACAGAATAAAGACAGTATGAGCGACATTTGTATAGGTGAGATCATTATCTTGCCACTTACTTCTCCACAACTGTGCCAATCTCTATGCAGGTCTTCTCTGCAGCCTCACGAAATGCTGGATCTGGATGAGCTACTTTTACAAAGTCTGCCTGGATATGGGGAGAATAATTATATAACACCCATAGCTCTATATAATTATGACAAGGTTACCAAGTGCAACTTCCCAGGATTACTTTCCATGTAACATATTACAAGATAAGTACATGATATGTGAGTCATAGTTATAATCATTGTTAGACCCCTTTTAATGATCGGCTGTGCCCCCGTATAAAAAGAAAGGTAGGTAGGTAGGACTTTATTGATCCCACAGTGGGAAAATTCCTGTGTTCCAGCAGCAATAAAACAAGAACAAACACCACACACATTATCTTGAGAAACAAATTCCAAAGTATTTGAGAGCCAATCAAGCACAAGAATGATCCTCCCACAATTAATCCCTGAGAACAAATCAAAATACCAAAGAACAAGACAAGATACAGTATTTGAGAGAGATCAAGAAGTCAAGGACAAGAATATTACTCCCATAATTAATTCCACAATAGGGGGAAAATACAAAACAAAAACACCATGTTTGAGTTTTAACAGGCTCCTATATTTGGTAGTTGAATCATTTAGATGGATAACGACAGGAAAAGAACTTCCTAAATATCAGCTGGGTAGCTTGGCATGTATAATGTCCATAAAACTATGACAGTGTGGCTACATTCTTAGCCAGTTGCTGTTCAAAGGTTTTGATTTTGGGTATTAAACTCACCAGATCAGCCACTTTACATAAGCCATCTGAGAGCTGGTCAAAAGCCTCGACTGTCTCAACCCCTGGAGGACAAGAACAAGCTTTGTCCACCAGGAACTCGGTGTTCCTGAGAGCTGCCTTTGTGGCTACCTGGAAGCCTGCAGGACAGCTCAGCTCTGACACTCCAAACAAACCCTGCAACCAGAAATAACACAAGTTGGGGATATCATGATATGTTTATCACGAAGTGATGCGACTTGTGCGACATTACTTCACAGAGTATGTGTGTATTCGTACAGCAGTGCTGTAGCTAAACAGAAACATTTAGGACAAATACGAACCACGTTTTTCTCGAACAGCTCCAGCCTCCTGTGAGGTTTGGCATTGAAAGCAGCTCCTACAGGTGACCATGTTGTGACGTTTCTCCGAAAATGCGTCCACGGGCTGCTGTGCGTTACAAAGTAAAGCAGCTTTTTCCACGCAGACATTTTGTACTAAATCTGCTGTACGTCCTGCTGTCTACTGAAGCTTGTAGTGCTGACAAAGGGCATGCTAAACCTTAGCTTCAATATTAGCGTTAGCCTGTTTACAAAGCTAGAAATGCAAATAACGCTAATATTTTCTAAACATTTCTTCTGGAAAAATATGGGATAACTGTTGCTTTGTGATGAATGAGGTGTACCGGTCAGTCCAATAACTGCAATTCAATTCCACATGTAAGCTCCAGAGCTCCTGTCTATCTAAGCAAAGCTGCATTACATTTGCAGCTGGTATTTTCGTGAACAGGAACATATATAAACAACAAATGAAAAAATAAAATCACCATCATAACATATAAACAGAATAACATTCCGATTATGACGGAATTTCTCTAATGCTCCAAAACTTCAGTAGCTAATTAAAAAGCGTTAAGATACATCTTAAATCTCTCGAAAGTGTGGAAAGCTAACGTAAATCGACGTAATGACGTCGAACAGAAGGGAGGTTGGGCATATTTTTGAAACATTTTCACAATAAAAGCAGCTCAATGCCACCAAAATCTAGAGTGGATTAACCCTATTAAGGCTCTGCCAAAACCGTTTGGGGTCTGTCTCCAACCCAGGGGATTGGGGAATGAGCGTTCACGCACCGCCAGATTGTATGCAAGGGCGTCACACGTTATGTCAAGCATTACAAAATAATGGCACAATTTCCACAGCTGATAAAACTGCACTGTAGAAACTGCCTACATACATTTTAAGTATGTCCTTTATTGAGTTACCTATCCTCTCTGATTGCCAATATGGTTTTAGGTCGAACCGATCGACATCCCTGGCCATTAGTGAGCTAATGGAGGACATAACAAGTGCTATGGATGAGAGGAAATACACGATGGGAATATTTATTGACCTAAAAAAGGCATTTGACACAATCAATCATGAGTTATTAATGGATAAGTTAGAAAAATATGGGATCAGGGGATTGGTTTTGAACTGGATCAGAAGTTACTTGACACAGAGGCGTCAATTTGTGAAGTTGGGTGAATACCAATCGAGTGAGCTGGACATTGTATGTGGAGTGCCTCAGGGTTCTGTTTTGGGACCTAAATTATTTATATTATACATTAATGATATATGCAAGGTTTCTGATTTAGTGAAAGTGGTTTTATTTGCTGATGACACTACCATATGGGCATCGGGTGAAAACCTACAGCAACTATCTGGATGGGTTACACAGGAACTTGA